CCTACACATAGGATGATATATGTCACCAGTTACCTCCCCTACACATAGGATGATATATGTCACCAGTTACCTCCCCTACACATAGGATGATATATGTCACCAGTTACCTCCCCTACACATAGGATGATATATGTCACCAGTTACCTCCCCTACACATAGGATGATATATATCACCAGTTACCTCCCCTACACATAGGATGATATATGTCACCAGTTACCTCCCCTACACATCTTGGATAGGATGATATATGTCACCAGTTACCTCCCTAACACATCTTGGATAGGATGATATATGTCACCAGTTACCTCCCCTACACATCTTGGATAGGATGATATATGTCACCAGTTACCTCCCCTACACATAGGATGATATATGTCACCAGTTACCTCCCCTACACATCTTGGATAGGATGATATGTCACCAGTTACCTCCCCAACACATAGGATGATATATGTCACCAGTTACCTCCCCTACACATCTTGGATAGGATGACACACGAGAATCCACCATCAACAAAATAAACTTATCCATATAACAGAATCCACATATCCACCAAATAAACTGATCCATTTCAACGGATCCAACTATCCACCTGGAACGTGTATTTTAATTTCTGTATACGTATAACATTTGATAGAATTATGAAGAATTTAATAGAATGTTCCAACTAAGTTTTCATCGTGTTTATAAAATTATGATAACAAACTTTAAATGAGCGTGAAATGGGAAGAAGACATAGTTAACTTGATTTGTTGTGCTGGTCTCAACAATAGTTCAACCACTAATATGGCTCACTTGATGACGCTCAGTTCATAACGAAGCACAGGATCAAGATAAAAAGCCGATAGAATACGAAGGCCGTCATTTACTAAAAATGTCAACGTGTAGATGGACAGGCCAAACTACATGCAACTATCAAAAACAAATATTCTAAATTTTAAAATTTTATGTTTACCCATTTCTTTGATGTAATTTATAATATTTTTTTGTAGCGATTATTCAAATGAAAATTCGAGTTTTTTTTCTTGTAAGGTTGAAGTCAGATTAGTACAATACAATCTAAAGCCTTTGTATTTATAACTAAATTAATAATTAAAAAAAAACGACAACATTGCAGACACAAAAATGTTTTACTTTGATCAAGAATTAAATCGCAATTATTTTTTCTGTAACTTTATTTTTTGTGATTTTTCCGTAGAAAAACGTGTGACTTTCTTTCTGTGACTTTTTTCCTTGTACCTTTTTTCAACTCAATACGTCTGGGACCATTGTTGAAGGGTTGAGGTAAAGATTCTAGAAGATTCTAGCAGAAGGTAGAACAAGTCTGTCTAGAACTTAGTTTCTAGAAGATGCTGAAACAAGTCTGTCTAGAACTTAGATTCTAGAAGATTCTAGCAGATGGTAGAACAAGTCTGTCTAGAACTTAGATTCTAGAAGATTCTAGCAGAAGGTAGAACAAGTCTGTCTAGAACTTAGTTTCTAGAAGATGCTGAAACAAGTCTGTCTAGAACTTAGATTCTAGAAGATTCTAGCAGATGGTAGAACAAGTCTGTCTAGAACTTAGATTCTAGAAGATTCTAGCAGAAGGTAGAACAAGTCTGTCTAGAACTTAGATTCTAGAAGATGGTGAAACTTGTCTGTCTAGAACTTAGATTCTAGAAGATTCTAGCAGATGGTAGAATAAGTCTGTCTGGACCCTGGCCTTGACCTCGCTACCTCAGACCTTGTGTGATGTAAGTTGAAGGCCGCGTGAGTCAGGTTTGGTAGAGGCAGGTGCCGACTCTTCTGCTGGAAGTTTGGCGCACCCCATCACGTGCACCCACCCAGTGCGGTCTAGGTGGCGCGCATGCGCAGCACTGATCTAAAAATAGATTCTTGTTTGTGTGGCCAGTGATGTGAGACGCCGCTGTTTAGGGTGGAGGGGGGGGATGTAGTGGTGGGGTGGTGGGGGTGGAGGGGGAGCTGTAGTGATGGGGTAGGGGGAGGTGAGTAGTGGTGGGGGTGGAGGGGGGGTGTAGTGGTGGGTGGTGGGGGTGGAGGGAGGGGTGTAGTGGTGGGGTGGAGGGGGGTGTAGTGGTGGGGTGGAGGGGGGTGTAGTGGTGGGGTGGAGGTGTAGTGGTGGGGTGGAGGGGGAGGTGTAGTGGTTGGGTGGAGGGGGTTGTAGTGGTGGGGTGGTGGGGGTGGAGGGGAGGTGTAGTGGTGGGGTGGAGGTGTAGTGGTGGGGTGGAGGGGGGTGTAGTGGTGGGATGATGGGAGAGTTGTAGTGGTGGGGTGGAGGGGGATGTAGTGGTGGGGGTGGAGGGGGTGTAGTGGTGGGGTGGAGGGGGTGTAGTAGTGGGGTGGTGGTGGGGGGTGTAGTGGCGGGGTGGAGGGGGAGGTGTAGTGGTGGGGGAGGTGTACTGGTGGAATGGAGGTGTAGTGGTGGGGTGGAGGTGTAGTGGTGGGGTGGAGGTGTAGTGGTGGGGAGCTAGGATGGTGGACACCTCTACTTGATCGACCAACGAAACACTTCTACCATACATGCTCCTAACTCTATTTCCCCAACTCCACCTTACTCTCACACGACAAATCGCACCAGGAAAAAAGTCACGGGAAAATTTCAGTTTCTGTTTTTTGGTCTAGCTGTCAGTCCATCTCTAGGTCTAGCTGTCAACCCATCTCTAGGTCTAGCTGTTCCATCTCTAGGTCTAGCTGTTCCATCTCTAGGTCTAGCTGTCAACCCATCTCTAGGTCTAGCTGTTCCATCTCTAGGTCTAGCTGACTGCTGGTGTACGACTCTAGGACTGACTAGGACGCAGACGTTTTCTCCGTCCATAAATAACTTCCTGCCTACGTCTTCCTACCGTCTGGGCGGAGGTGACCTCCCCTTGCCCCAGCGACAATGACCCCAAAGGTCACATGCAAGCAGCCAGACGGATCACTGTCTTAATATAATTACACAGCGCGGCAGACGCGTCAAGTGAAACTACTGGAGTAGTCTCCCTTCCCTGACTGACTGGCCTAGAGTAGTCTCCCCTCACCATTGGCTGCTTGTCACACGTCGGCGCGTGACTCAATGACGTCACGTAGCGTAGCGCGTGATAATCCACAGCCGTTGCGAAAATATGCCGAAGTGTTGTACTTGAAACTGGACCAGTCAACTGGCTACACGACTGGTCAACTTGCCACTGGACTAGTCAACTTGCTACAGGACTGATCAACTTGCTACAGGACTGGTCAACTTGCTACATGGCTGGTCAACTTGATACAGCACTGGTCAACTTGATACTGGACTGGTCAACTTGATACAGCACTGGTCAACTTGCTATAGGACTGGTCAACTTGCTACAGGACTGGTCAACTTGCTACAGGACTGGTCAACTTGCTACAGGACTGGTCAACTTGCTACAGGACTGGTCAACTTTCTACAGGACTGGTTAACTTGCTACAGGACTGGTCAACTTGATACAGCTGGTCAACTTGCTACAGGACTGGAGTCGGGAGGTAGTGTGGTCGGGAGGTAGTGTGGTCGGGAGGAAGTGTAAGGACCATCGAGAAGAATGTTGGACTCCCCGAGTCGGACACCCATGTGACCGAGTTCGCAGATCACGTGACGGTGTGAGTGCAGACAGGCTACGTCATTAATTCGCATACGTGGTCGGGAGAGTGGGTGACGTGTAGGGTGGGGCGGGGTATTTTGGGATGGGGGAAACTGCCGCCATTTTAGCACTAGGGCCTTATGATGACGTCACACGGATGACTCAACGAGATGTACACAGACAATTGGTGGGAGGGGTAATGGCACGCCAACCCACACAACCAGATACCAACCCACACAACCAGGGGTAATGGCATGCCAACCCACACAAAACAACCAGGGGTAAAGGCATGCCAACCCACACAACCAGGGCTGACATGATTACAACCCACACAACCAGGGTTGACAATGACATACCAACCCACACAACCAGGGCTGGCATGATTACAACCCACACAACCAGGGCTGACATGATTACAACCCACAAAACCATTTCACTGACCGAGTTATTTCACACATGTCCATAACACTAACCGCTTTTTTTCTAGTTTTATATGGGTGTGGGGGGGGGGTCGATATGTATGGCGAACTGGATAAAATAGAGGTGGGTGGACTCAATTAAATATAGAGGCTGTCAGTCTGTAAGGGCCACTGAAGGTGGATTACAGAAGGTGGATTATCAACTGGGGAACTTAATGAAATACAAGTGACCACATGTTTATACCCCGTCTATCCACAACATCGGACAAACTTGCAAACAGATAGACAGACGGATTAAAATACGAACAGACGAATGGACGGACAGTTGGACTACCTGAGAAGAAAATATAAGTTGACCTGAGGTAAACTTTTGATCTATACAGTTCATCGATCAGCCCTAACCCAGTTTGGCGAGCCCCCACTGAACTAAACCTTAACCTACAACACGGTGGTCTGTAGACGCGCAGCAAACAGCTGCCCTTTAACTAGGTCAGCCCGTGTTCACTGGCGTCTGCCAATACTTCGCGCAGACACACCTCGCCTCCCAGCCCGACGGGGCTTCGGGCGGTACACGGGGACTCGTCCGTTATGAGAGGACGGCGGGGACTTATCCGTTAGAGGGGCCCAGAGAACCAGTAGGTTTATAGTGGTGCACGGGACTTATCCGTTAGAGGGGCCCAGAGAATTGTGAAGCTTGTCCGTATTGCCATAGGTTCCACGCTTGTCCATGTAATTAGGCCTATCTAAATGTCTGGCTTAGGTTAACGAATGAATAAGCTGGACAACAAGCTATGAGCTTGTGACATTCAATAGAGGGGCCTTGTGTAGAGCATTTGTTAAGTGGACGTCACATACCATACGTCCTCTAGACATGGACACTACAGTGATGTATAATCTAGACATGGACACTACAGTCCTGTATAATCTAGACATGGACACTACCCACTTGACCTTCACGCTAATTAATTTGATAAATAAACCAATAAACATTAAAAACAAGACTTAAGATTTAAAAAAATTTAATTAAAAAAAAAAGTTGATAAACCAAAACGAGCCAGCGTTGCCCTTCCATGAGATCTAGTGGCCATACCTGGGGAGAAGACGAGAAAGTTGAGGTCATTTATGTGGAGAGGTCATTTATGTGGAGAGGTCATTTATGTGGAGAGGTCATTTATGTGGAGAGGTCATTTCAAGAGGCATATGTCATTTATAAAGGAATATATATTTTAAAGGAGACAAAAAAGGTCTTTTATAGAAACAAATATGGAAGAGTAGATGCTAGGTAATCAATCCAAGAATACAGTGGCAGGACAATTCAAAGAAACAACAGCAAAATGCAGTTCCCTGGCCTCTACAGGTCGGTTCCCTGGCCTCTACAGGTCAGTTCCCTGGCCTCTACAGGTCAGTTCCCTGGCCTCTACAGGTCAGTTCCCTGGCCTCTACAGGTCAGTTCCCTGGCCTCTACAGGTCGGTTCCCTGGCCTCTACAGGTCAGTTCCCTGGCCTTTACAGGTCAGTTCCCTGGCCTCTACAGGTCAGTTCCCTGGCCTCTACAGGTCGGTTCCCTGGCCTTTACAGGTCAGTTCCCTGGCCTCTACAGGTCGGTTCCCTGGCCTCTACAGGTCAGTTCCCTGGCCTCTACAGGTCAGTTCCCTGGCCTCTACAGGTCAGTTCCCTGGCCTCTACAGGTCGGTTCCCTGGCCTCTACAGGTCAGTTCCCTGGCCTCTACAGGTCAGTTCCCTGGCCTTTACAGGTCAGTTCCCTGGCCTCTACAGGTCAGTTCCCTGGCCTTTACAGGTCAGTTCCCTGGCCTCTACAGGTCAGTTCCCTGGCCTTTACAGGTCGGTTCCCTGGCCTCTACAGGTCAGTTCCCTGGCCTCTACAGGTCGGTTCCCTGGCCTCTACAGGTCAGTTCCCTGGCCTTTACAGGTCAGCTTCCCATTACTACACGATTACAGTCTGACCTCATCTTCCACCAGACAGGTCAATGGAATCAATAGTCGACACGTCCGTCAGGCAGGGGTGGGGAGGGTGTGTAATGTCAGTCTGGGGGTGGGGGAGGTTGTGTAACATGTCAGTCTAGGGGTGGGGGAGGTTGTGTAACATGTCAGTCTAGGGGTGGGGGAGGTTGTGTAACATGTCAGTCTAGGGGTGGGGGAGGTTGTGTAACATGTCAGTCTAGGGGTGGGGGAGGTTGTGTAACATGTCAGTCTAGGGGTGGGGGAGGTTGTGTAACATGCCAGTCTAGGGGTGGGGGAGGAGGGGCTTGTGTAACACGGGTGGGATGGGAGAGGGGATGTTGTATTTGTAATGAATGAGAAAAATCCACCAGCAACACGTAAGAGGCCTGTACTAGCAGTCAATGATGATGTGACAAACAAGTTAAATAGCTTGTGGTTTTCTGTGTCCAACGAAGGCCGGTGTCCCTAGCTTGGGAAATAGTGTGTGGGCGTCAGCATATGACAACACAAGGTTCGGAAATCATCATGCTGGTAACATGCTAGTGGCCAGATCTGTCACATACAGGTCAGGTGTGACAAATCTGTGACCTACGGGCTAGATGTGACAAGTCTGTGACTTGCTGGCTAGATGTGACAAGTCTGTGACCTGCTGGCTAGATGTGACAAGTCCGTGACCTACGGGCTAGATGTGACAAGCCTGTGACCTGATAGTTAGATGTGACAAGTCTGACATCTCGAGGCTGTAGCCGATGAAAGAAACGCCGTATAGAAGTTGACAGTTGAGTGGGGGCCACTGAGAGCCGCTGGGTGGGCCAGAGCCAGCCTTCCTCCAGCAAAGATCGATAGGAAGGGGCGGGCCAATTGATTCAATACACCCGCACGTGCACACTGGTAAACAAACAAATTTGGGAGAGGCGAAGTTGGCAGTGGGTGTGCGGGTGGGTGGGTGGGGCTGGGTGTGCGGGTGGGTGGGGGCACGTGGTGAAGCTGAGGCTGCATGCACGGTGAGTACTGGCACACGGGGGTGGGGCGTCCTACACACTGACCCACGATAGCAATGCTCAGATGACGCGTAAGGTTTCAGAGGTCAGTAGGTCATTTATAGAAGATAGAGGAAGCTGGAACATAAGACCTAACAGGTGACACGACCTCTGAGGCCATGACATATGACAGCGTTAGGTCATCTATCAGTGCGGGAATGTCATGTCAGTGATCCCCCCCCCCCCCCAGCCCTGGACACGTGACGCAATGTGTCGAGCATGAGATGACCCAACAAATCTGGCAGTACAAAATTTGAATCATGCCAAATGGGGGGTGGGGGGGGGGGAGCTGTTGCAATATGGCGCATTCTTGCAGGAAAGTTCGTGTGGAAGGGGGGGGGGGGGAAGAACTAGCCATCCCACACTGCATGGTGGTGGGATGGGGCATAAAAAAGAACGTTGAAGAATGTCAGTCAGAATTAGTGGCAGGGAATTTTGGTGACGATAGGGGGGGGGTGAGGGGTGTCAGTATACACTGTTGGACAAATTGAACTAGACCAACAATTTGTGTAAGTCCCTGCCAGGATTAAGACGAGTTGTATAGGTCCCTGCCAGGGTTCAGGCAAGTTGTATAGGTCCCTGCCAGGGTTCAGACAAGTTGTATAGGTCCCTGCCAGGGTTCAGACAAGTTGTATAGGTCCCAGGGTTCAGACAAGTTGTATAGGTCCCTGCCAGGGTTCAGACAAGTTGTATAGGTTCCTGCCTGGGTTTAGACACGTTGTATAGGTCCCTGGGTTTAGACAAGTTGTATAGGTCCCTGGGTTCAGACAAGTTATATAGGTCCCTGCCAGGGTTCAGACAAGTTGTATAGGTCCCTGCCAGGGTTCAGACAAGTTGTATAGGTCCCAGGGTTCAGACAAGTTGTATAGGTCCCAGGGTTCAGACAAGTTGTATAGGTCCCTGGGTTCAGACAAGTTGTATAGGTCAATGGGTTCAGAAAAGTTGTATAGGTCCCAGGGTTCAGACAAGTTGTATAGGTCCCAGGGTTCAGACAAGTTGTATAGGTCCCAGGGTTCAGATAAGTTGTATAGGTCCCTGGGTTCAGATAAGTTGTATAGGTCCCTGGGTTCAGATAAGTTGTATAGGTCCCTGGGTTCAGACAAGTTGTATAGGTCCCTGCCAGGGTTCAGATAAGTTGTATAGGTCCCAGGGTTCAGATAAATTGTATAGGTCCCTGCCAGGGTTCAGACAAGTTGTATAGGTCCCAGGGTTCAGACAAGTTGTATAGGTCCCAGGGTTCAGACAAGTTGTATAGGTCCCTGGGTTCAGACAAGTTGTATTGGTCTCTGCCAGGGTTCAGACAAGTTGTATAGGTCCCTGCCAGGGTTCAGACAAGTTGTATAGGTCCCAGGGTTCAGACAAGTTGTATAGGTCCCTGCCAGGGTTCAGACAAGTTGTATAGGTCCCAGGGTTCAGACAAGTTGTATAGGTTCCTGCCTGGGTTTAGACACGTTGTATAGGTCCCTGGGTTTAGACAAGTTGTATAGGTCCCTGGGTTCAGACAAGTTATATAGGTCCCTGCCAGGGTTCAGATAAGTTGTATAGGTCCCTGGATTCAGACAAGTTGTATAGGTCCCAGGGTTCAGATAAGTTGTATAGGTCCCTGGGTTCAGATAAGTTGTATAGGTCCCAGGGTTCAGACAAGTTGTATAGGTCCCTGGGTTCAGATAAGTTGTATAGGTCCCAGTCTGGGTTCAGACAAGTTGTATAGGTCCCTGGGTTCAGATAAGTTGTATAGGTCCCTGGGTTCAGACAAGTTGTATAGGTCCCTGGGTTCAGATAAGTTGTATAGGTCCCTGCCAGGGTTCAGATAAGTTGTATAGGTCCCTGCCAGGGTTCAGATAAGTTGTATAGGTCCCTGCCAGGGTTCAGACAAGTTGTATAGGTCCCTGCCAGGGTTCAGACAAGTTGTATAGGTCCCAGGGTTCAGATAAGTTGTATAGGTCCCTGCCTGGGTTCAGACAAGTTGTATAGGTCCCAGGGTTCAGATAAGTTGTATAGGTCCCTGCCAGGGTTCAGATAAGTTGTATAGGTCCATGGGTTCAGATAAGTTGTATAGGTCCCTGCCAGGGTTCAGATAAGTTGTATAGGTCCATGGGTTCAGACAAGTTGTATTGGTCCCTGCCAGGGTTCAGATAAGTTGTATAGGTCCCAGTCTGGGTTCAGATAAGTTGTATAGGTCCCTGGGTTCAGACAAGTTGTATAGGTCCCTGCCTGTGTTCAGATAAGTTGTATAGGTCCCTGCCTGTGTTCAGATAAGTTGTATAGGTCCCAGTCTGGGTTCAGATAAGTTGTATAGGTCCCTGGGTTCAGACAACTTGTATAGGTCCCTGCCTGGGTTCAGACAACTTGTATAGGTCCCAGGGTTAGACAAGTTGTATAGGTCCATGGGTTCAGACAAGTTGTATAGGTCCCTGCCAGGGTTCAGACAAGTTGTATAGGTCCCTGCCTGGGTTCAGACAAGTTGTATAGGTCCATGGGTTCAGACAAGTTGTATAGGTCCCAGGGTTCAGACAAGTTGTATAGGTCCCTGGGTTCAGACAAGTTGTATAGGTCCCTGGGTTCAGAAAAGTTGTATAGGTCCCTGGGTTCAGATAAGTTGTATAGGTCCCTGCCTGGGTTCAGATAAGTTGTATAGGTCCATGGGTTCAGACAAGTTGTATAGGTCCCTGCCTGGGTTCAGACAAGTTGTATAGGTCCCTGGGTTCAGATAAGTTGTATAGGTCCCTGCCAGGGTTCAGATAAGTTGTATAGGTCCCTGCCTGGATTCAGACAAGTTGTATAGGTCCATGGGTTTAGACAAGTTGTATAGGTCCCTGGGTTCAGACAAGTTGTATAGGTCCCTGCCTGGGTTCAGACAAGTTGTATAGGTCCCTGGGTTCAGATAAGTTGTATAGGTCCCTGCCAGGGTTCAGATAAGTTGTATAGGTCCCTGTCTGGATTCAGACAAGTTGTATAGGTCCCAGGGTTCAGACAAGTTGTATAGGTCCATGGGTTCAGACAAGTTGTATAGGTCCCTGGGTTCAGATAAGTTGTATAGGTCCCTGCCTGGATTCAGACAAGTTGTATAGGTCCCAGGGTTCAGATAAGTTGTATAGGTCCCTGGGCTCAGACAAGTTGTATAGGTCCCAGGGTTCAGATAAGTTGTATAGGTCCCAGGGTTCAGACAAGTTGTATAGGTCCCAGGGTTCAGACAAGTTGTATAGGTCCCTGGGTTCAGAAAAGTTGTATAGGTCCCTGGGTTCAGAAAAGTTGTATAGGTCCCTGGGTTCAGATAAGTCACCAGGTTGGAAACACTGAGACAGCTAAAATTGAATTTCTATTTCCACACAGCCACGCAGATATGACGGGCACAAAGCTCGATTCAAAGGGACGTAACTGGAACAATTTCAAACCACCAAGACAGCAAGAGTAGCGGGGACTTCATGACTTAAGGGGATATGTGCAGTTTTTTCTAATGTTTTACAATTTAAGATCTAAAGCCTTTTGAACATTTTTATCATGTTTGGGACACGAAAGTAAGTATTAAACAGCAAAATAAGGGTTGAAAACAATTTTGGTTGTCATGGAAACCCAAAAGAGCATATCCCCTTAAAACCAACAGTTAGGTTCTCAAGCAAAGGGACATAACTGGTGGCAGTCTGTGAGAAGCTTTGAGAAAATTAGACCACCACTGGAGTTTTAAAATCATTTGCATTCTGATGGAGCAGTTCTAAGTAGACCAAAATAGACCAATAATGTTAACTTACTGAACCAAAAAAAAAATTGTTGTAGACCATTTGTTAACTTGATGGACCAAAAAAATTGTTGTAGACCATTTGTTAACTTGATGGACCAAAAATATTTTGTAGACCATTTGTTAACTTGATGGACCAAACAAATTGTTGTAGACCATTTGTTAACTTGATGGACTAAAAAAATTGTTGTAGACCATTTGTTAACTTGATGGACCAAAAAAATTGTTGTAGACCATTTGTTAACTTGATGGACCAAAAAAATTGTTGTAGACCATTTGTTAACTTGATGGACCAAAAAATGTTTGTAGACCATTTGTTAACTTGATGGACTAAAAAAATTGTTGTAGACCATTTGTTAACTTGATGGACCAAAAAAATTGTTGTAGACCATTTGTTAACTTGTTGGACCAAAAATATTTGTTGTAGACCATTTGTTAACTTGTTGGACCAAAAATATTTGTTGTAGACCATTTGTTAACTTGTTGGACCAAAAAACTTGTAGACCATTTGTTAACTTGGTGGACCAAAAAACTTGTAGACCATTTGTTAACTTGGTGGACTAAAAATATTTTGTAGACCATTTGTTAACTTGATGGACCAAAAAAAATTGATGTAGACCATTTGTTAACTTGATGGACCAAAAAAATTGTTGTAGACCATTTGTTAACTTGATGGACCAAAAAAATTGTTGTAGACCATTTGTTAACTTGATGGACCAAAAAATTGTTGTAGACCATTTGTTAACTTGATGGACCAAAAAAATTGTTGTAGACCATTTGTTAACTTGATGGACCAAAAAAATTGTTGTAGACCATTTGTTAACTTGATGGACCAAAACAATTGTTGTAGACCATTTGTTAACTTGTTGGACCAAAATAATTGTTGTAGACCATTTGTTAACTTGATGGACCAAAAAAATTGTTGTAGACCATTTGTTAACTTGATGGACCAAAAAAATTGTTGAGACCATTTGTTAACTTGATGGACCAAAATTTTTTGTTGTAGACCATTTGTTAACTTGATGGACTAAAATATTTTGTAGACCATTTGTTAACTTGTTGGACCAAAAAAATTGTTGTAGACCATTTGTTAACTTGATGGACCAAAATTTTTTGTTGTAGATTTGTTAACTTGGTGGACCAAAAAAATTGTTGTAGACCATTTGTTAACTTGATGGACTAAAAATATTTTGTAGACCATTTGTTAACTTGTTGGACCAAAAAAATTGTTGTAGACCATTTGTTAACTTGATGGACCAAAATTTTTTGTTGTAGACCATTTGTTAACTTGATGGACCAAAATTTTTTGTTGTAGACCAATATGATGGTGCACAAAAAGATGGGTCTGACGTTATAAGAAATGACAACATAAAGTATGTAAGTCATAGATGTTAGGTTGCCTGTGTGGTGTAAGAGATGACCATCTTAGACAACATAAATAAAATACTTAAAAAAAAACTTTTTAAAAAACCACGTTTTTCTTGTGGACTAAAAAGTAGAAAATAACTATTTACATACATTTGATGACAAAAAACGTGGGTACGTTCACCATCAAATTTCCCGACCCATCTGCCCGACCCACGTTTTTTGTCATCAAATGTATGTAAATAGTTATTTTCTACTTTTTGGTCCACAAGAAAAACGTGGTTTTTTAAAAAGTTTTTTTTTAAGTATTTTATTTTCTCCTTTTTAGTCCGTTGCTACACATGAAAAACGTGGTTTTTAAAAAGTTTTTTATATAGTTTATTTTTTACTTTATCTAATCACTTGATTAAGTATGACTTGACTAAGTGTTTTTAAATACACGGACTAAAAAAATCTTGAGCGACCGATACGCTTTAAACAGAGAAAGGGTGTAATTTACGTTGCTGGCGTGGAGATCTACTCACGAATCACGTGATCAAATCTCCCATAAACAAACAAATAAACGCGAAGCTGAGTTAAGGAAAAACGTGTTTATGTGTATTTTAGCATGCCCAGCGTACCAACCGTGTCACCGTTAACAATGTGTTACCGTGTCCGTTCTCCTTTTTAGTCCGTTGCTACACATAAAAAACGTGGTTTTTTAAAAAGTTTTTTTTAAGTATTTTATTTTCTCCTTTTTAGTCCGTTGCTACACATGAAAAACGTGGTTTTTAAAAAAGTGTTTATAAATACACGGACTAAAAAAATCTTGAGCGACCAGGATTCGAACCTGGGTTGTCGCGGCCACAACGCGAAGTACTAACCACTATACGATCACGGCCAGCGCGCTCACATCGATTGGGGCCGAAGTAACTGTGTCAATAGGCCTCAAGTCTTGTCGGTATCTTTAGAAATCATGTCCTCAATTTTATGGTCCTTGGGGCGTAATTAAATTAAGCTAATTACGGTCACTAATTGCTAGTTTTTATGATTGCATCTGAAAATGTTAGGCGAAAGTAGCATGCATGCCAAATTTCAGGTCTCTAGAGCAATCAGAAGTGGGCTAATTTTCGATGTCAATTTTAACAACAAACAAACAAACAAACGCGAAGCTGAGTTAAGAAAAACGTGTTAAGAATGTAAGTCATAGATGTTAGGTTGCCTGTGTGGTGTAAGAGATGACCATCTTAGACAACATAAAGAATGTAAGTCATAGATGTTAGGTTGCCTGTGTGGTGTAAGAGATGACCATCTTAGACAACATAAAGAATGTTAGTTATAGATGTTAGGTTGCCTGTGTGGTGTAAGAGATGACCATCTTAGACAACATAAAGAATGTAAGTCATAGATGTTAGGTTGCCTGTGTGGTGTAAGAGATGACCATCTTAGACAACATAAAGAATGTTAGTTATAGATGTTAGGTTGCCTGTGTGGTGTAAGAGATGACCATCTTAGACAACATAAAGTATGTAAGTCATAGATGTTAGGTTGCCTGTGTGGTGTAAGAGATGACCATCTTAGACAACATAAAGAATGTTAGTTATAGATGTTAGGTTGCCTGTGTGGTGTAAGAGATGACCATCTTAGACAACATAAAGAATGTAAGTCATAGATGTTAGGTTGCCTGTGTGGTGTAAGAGATGACCGTGCTGGTGCCCTATAGTTTTATGTCTATCCAATACACACATTTTACCAATTCTGAAGCTAAAGGTTGGTTGAGGATACCCATGCCCTATAGGCTCCTCCAACAATAGCTGTGTTAGTTTGTTGGCAGTGTTGTAATCTCGACTAGATTTATGGTTAGAAATGACATGACAGATGTGTAACGTAACATCTGAGCAGACTTACTTCTGGAACTCCCACTCCCTGTTGTCCAGTGGACAGACCTGCCTGGTCTTGAGCCAGCGAGTGATGCAGTGGAAATGGAATGCATGCTGGGGAGAAAGGTTGGAGGAAACCCAGTTAAATAAGACTTTGTCAACCCAGTTAAATAAGACTTTGTCAACCCAGTTAAACAAGACTTTGTCAACCCCCTGTTAAACAAGACTTTGTCAACAGCTGTTAAACAAGACTTTGTCAACCCCCTGTTAAACAAGACTTTGTCAACAGCTGTTAAACAAGACTTTGTCAACCCCCTGTTAAACAAGACTTTGTCAACCCCCTGTTAAACAAGACTTTGTCAACAGCTGTTAAATAAGACTTTGTCAACCCCCTGTTAAACAAGACTTTAAACCCCCTGTTAAACAAGACTTTGTCAACAGCTGTTAAACAAGACTTTATATTTAATGTTTCAACTCAGTCAACAAACACTTAACATTTGTCAACCAAATAAACTCAGAACTTAATTTAGCATATCTGTAGAAAATTACCTAAACCCCAATAGAAACTGGTAAAAAATAAAAACTAACAACTCATAGAACCTTGCTAAAATTTAAAAGTTATATTGCCAACACCCCAATAGAAACTTGCTAAAAATAAAAAGTTATATTGCCAACACCCCAATAGAAACTTGCTAAAAATAAAAAGTTATATTGCCAACACCCCAATAGAAACTTGCTAAAATTAAAAAGTTATATTGCCAACACCCCAATAGAAACTTGCTAAAAATAAAAAGTTATATTGCCAACACCCCAATAGAAACTTGCTAAAAATAAAAAGTTATATTGCCAACACCCCAATAGAACCTTACTAAAATTAAAAAGTTATATTGCCAACACCCCAATAGAAACTTGCTAAAATTAAAAAGTTATATTGCCAACACCCCAATAGAACCTTACTAAAATTAAAAAGTTATATTGCCAACACCCCAATAGAAACTTGCTAAAAATAAAAAGTTATATTGCCAACACCCCAATAGAAACTTGCTAAAAATAAAAAGTTATATTGCCAACACCCCAATAGAAACTTGCTAAAAAAAAATTGACTATACAAACATCCCAAAAGAACTTCATTGAAAAAACTTACATTGCAAACACCCCAATAAAACCCCATTAAAACAAACTTACATTGCAAACACCCCAGGCCACGGTACACTCCTCACTGGTTGCTGAAGCTTGGTTGGCTTGACACTCAATACCTGACAAATATAAATGACAATACCTGACAAATATAAATGACAATCAATATCTGACAAATATAAATGGCAATCAATATTTGACAAATATAAATGACACTCAATACCTGACAAATATAAATGGCAATACCTGACAAATATAAATGACACTCAATACCTGACAAATATAAATGACAATACCTGACAAATATAAATGACAATCAATACCTGACAAATATAAATGACACTCTATACCTGACAAATATAAATAAAACATAAATGACAATATCTGATAAAGGGCTACTACTCCATAAATTAAAAAATCTACATATACTGCTACAATGTGAATACAAGTTGGATGGAGATTATAGTTAACAAGTTGGATGGCGATTATAGTTAACAAGTTGTGTGGAGATTATAGTTAACAAGTTGTGTGGAGATTATAGTTAACAAGTTGTGTGGAGATTATAGTTAACAAGTTGTGTGGAGATTATAGTTAACAAGTTGGATGCAGATTATAGTTAACAAGTTGTGTGGAGATTATAGTTAACAAGGTGTGTGGAGATTATAGTTAACAAGTTGGATGGAGATTATAGTTAACAAGTTGGGTGGAGATTATAGTTAACAAGTTGGGTGGAGGTTATAGTTAACAAGTTGTGTGGAGATTAAAGTTAACAAGTTGTGTGGAGATTATAGTTAACAAGTTGTGTGGAGATTATAGTTAACAAGTTGTGTGGAGATTATAGTTAACAAGTTGTGTGGAGGTTATAGTTAATAAGTTGTGTGGAGATTATAGTTAACAAGTTGTGTGGAGGTTATAGTTAACAAGTTGTGTGGAGATTATAGTTAACAAGTTGGGTGGAAATGCTAATCCAAAATGAGTGCATGTGTGCAAAGTCCCTCACTAAGATACTTCGGTCTCTGCATTAAGCTCATAAAAAATACACCACGCTGATATGATATGTAAAGTACTCACAAAGATCCATGATGTGATTGCGGCAAATGGCACAATTGTCAACAACAATATCTAGAAAATAAATATTTCAATCAGTAATACAACCATTATGATTTTTTAAAATGACCAAAATTAGGCTTAGGGAAAAATTATTTTTATAACTATTTATCATCTAATATAAAAATATACTGTAATTAAATTTCATCTAGTTACTTACCCCATGCCCACAAGGCTACGGCATTCCACTGAAAAACAAAAGAAAATGAACAAATTTAGTAAATAGCACAGTTTAAAAAATAATACAGTAAGACATTTAAGACAATGGGTGGATTCTTCTTCGTTCTTAATATTAGTGTTGGAAGGGATTTCCTCTATCACAATTAAGTATATATGTCAACTGGTTATGTGTATTTAGGTCGTTGACTCTGATTTCAGCTTGCTTTTCTTTTTGGATTTGCTTCCATGGCCTTTGTCCACACAAGAACAAACTACAACAAACTACAAGGCAGCAATTGTTATTTTGGAGTTGTTTCTCTGAGAAAAGTTGCTGTCCCCAGCCAATGAGCCTCATCTGCCCTAGGGTTCAAACTCAAGACTTTTCGGCTTAGCAAACATGAGCTTTACAGACTCGACCACGCTGACCCCAAAAATGGGTGGACTAATTAACGTTTGACACAATATGGAAGGACAGTCTGAAAAAATACTAGACCTACTGCTTATAACCCAGTGATGCTAAATTGTGGATGGTGTTTTAAGAGAGAAATACTACTTTTTAAAAAGGAAAGCTAAAGCAGTAAAAAGGTGCATGTTTGAGAATGTTGATGATGATAAAAGTGTTGGTAGGTTCGCTATCGATGTGTGTGTGATGACATTGCTATTGATGTGGTTGGGATGATGTTACTATTGATGTGGGTGATGACATTGCTATTGGTGTGGTTGGGATGATGTTACTATTGATATTGATGAGGTTGGGATGATGTTACTATTGATATTGATGTAGTTGGGATGATGTTACTATTGATATTGATGTAGTTGGGATGATGTTACTATTGATATTGATGTGGTTGGGATGATGTTACTATTGATATTGATGTAGTTGGGATGTTACTATTGATATTGATGTGGTTGGGATGATGTTACTATTGATATTGATGTAGTTGGGATGTTACTATTGATATTGATGTAGTTGGGATGATGTTACTATTGATATTGATGTAGTTGGGATGTTACTATTGATGTGTGTGCTGAGCTCTAGCGATGAGATCATGACTGTGCAGTGAATGTGGTAAGAAAGAAGTTGCTAAAGAAAGATGAGTAGATGGGAAAATAAATAATGTATTAGATGTGATGTATTGTGTTGTTGTACTTGTAGATCAAATGTAAATTTTGTTGATTTTTTTCTTTTGTCTATTCTGTTAAAAGCTGGTTGAGAAAAGGAAAACATGTCAAGGACACTTGAGTATTTTACATTACAGCAACAATGCTGTATCATTCTCATTCATATCTAAGTGAACATAAAAAATAACTACTTGCAAAACTAGTCTTGCCAAATATCATTCTATTGTAACTGGGGACTCAGTGGCTAAAAGCTAGATTCTACATCTCATAATTTACCACTCATACAACTTGATTTTTAATATTTTCAACTGGTCCTATTTTAATTTTTTAAGACATAACATAGCCAAATTTAAATAGTCGGTAGATTAAGAATTTAGATTCTAATTGTACTAATGATAAATAATTATGTTATATCAGATTAAAAATAAATAAATTAGCCTAACAGGAGGACGAATGGACATGGTAGACTAAGCTCATGAAAGTCAAATAGGATCCTGGACTTGAAGTTTGTGAAACAGGTGAACTATACCTACCCAGTGTACCATAAGGTTCGAAAGGTTACTAGATTTAGATCTACATAAGTACACACTACACAATCATAATGATGACTCACTGGTCCCAAAATAATGAATAGTAACAAAGTTTACAAAGTAACAAGATTTTACAAGACTGGCATCCCCTTCACTCACTGTCACTGTGAATTAGATAGAATCTAGATCTATATATATAGTAACACTAGAACTAGAATCGAGATCTTTAGTACTTAGTACCTAGATCTAGATATAAAATCAAAACAATTTAAAATTAAATTTCTAGGGGCTAGGCCTAAAAAAAATCGAAGTGACTACTTGGGAGAAGATTTTTCTCCCCAACGTCTCCACTTAGTCGCAAAAGATAGCTCTGCGCATGCGCAGTGACCTATGGCTAGGGTTAGGGCTAGAATGAGGGTTAGGGGTAGGATTAGGGATAGGATTAGGGCTAGGGTTCTGTGGTTGTAAACACACGCATGCGCAGTACCATCGAAAACATCGCCGCGAAAGCAAGTCGCAGTTTCTCTCCATTGTGCATGTGTATCTTATTCTGGCTAGCATCGGTCAAAAAAATCTAGATCTAGATTAGATCTAAATTCTAGAAACCGTAGATCAATCTACTAGGCCCTAATTGGTTAATTTACTATTAGAATCTAATCTAGATCTAGTTAGTTGACATTTACCAAGGTCAGGCTACAAACAAGCTAGTTCATTAAACTAATTAATTAGTAATTAAACTAACCATAGGTTTCTCAGAGCAGTGTTTCTTTCAGACTTTTTCTTAGGGAGGGCACTTGATATTAAATTATTTTCAGGGGGGGGGGGGGGACAGGGACAACGACACTGGTAAAAGTATGTTTTCGATATAAATTCCATTTCGTTCGGGGGGGGGGGGGGGGGGGGGGGGGGCAGTAGACTTTCTACGTCTGCCCCCCCCCCTCCCCCAAAGTTTCTTCAACTGTCTCATACTAGCTACTCTGAGTCAAGTCAACTCTCACGTCTGTTACTGCAGCCAGATGAAGGGTAAACCTCCATTTTAGCGTATTTTATTCTCCATTGCTTGTTTACCTCCAGTTGAGCGTATTTTATTATAACAACCGAAACACACCAAAACATTAGGAAAACACGATTTATTATTTGTATTGTATTTTTGTTTTCACAAATAAATAAAATTAATGTTTAAAAAACACGACTTGTTTATTTGTATTGTATTTTTGTTTTAACAAATGAATAAAAAAACAACAAAGAGACTGACTGAAGTGCTTTGTTCGTTGGTTACAAAAATAGAGATGCACACTTTGTACAATTAAGTGTTCCAATTTCAACTAAGGGGTCATCCATAAATGACGTCACACTAGTAGGGGGAGGGGCAGAGGCGTAGCGCGGTTGACGCCATTTAGGGGGGGGGGGTGACACCAAGGCAAAAAATAGAAAAATATATAGAGAAAAATGATAATTCCACTTAATTAAGTGATTAATACGAGTGTTAAATAGTCTTTTAAGAGGTGCAAATCGAAAGTTTGAGGGGGGGGGTGCAAATCGAAAGTTGAAAGTTTGTCCCCGGGAAGGGTCGCTACGCCTCTGGGGAGGGGGGGTCCGTAATTTTGTGACGGTGTGTGTTGAGGGGACGGGGGTTCAGATGGTGCTACATCATTTGGGGGGGGGGGGGGGGTCTTGCTTTTTGTGACGACACGCTTTTTTTTACGATTTTTACCTTCCCCTCCCCTCCGTTACACGTCGTCACAAAAAGTCAGACCCCCCCTAAAATGACGTCACACCACAGCCTACACCCACCCCCCCCCCCTCAAAATATCTGTTGAATTTTTCTTAAAACATCGATACAAAATCTTGTCAGAACTCTGTCAACATAGAGTATTTTGATCAATTCCTATTACAATTTATTAAAACCGTTTTCTAAAACCCGAAATAACGGCTAAAACTCGTTTTTCTAACATTGCTTTTTTTATAATGCAAAAAAAGTGACGTCACACCATCTGAAACCCCACCCCCTCCCCCTCATCACACACCGTCACAAAATTGCGGACCCCCTCTCCCTTACGAGTGTGACGTCATTTATGGACGACCCCACGTCAATTTTTTTTTAAAAACCAGAAATTTACTCACACAAAAAATCATACTTGATACATATATCAAAATATTTGGAAGGATGGTAGATTTACTATGAATTTAAATAACATACAACTCTATAGTAAAAATATTTTTTTTCAGTTTTGGCGAAATTGTCAAAAAAAAAAACACAGAGTTTGTACATTTATTGCATAAATACAAAAATATAATACAGAATAATTAACAGTGTATCAGTTTCACCATGAGACAAAAGCCTTTTTAAAAAAATACAATACAAATCAAGTCGTGTTTTTTAAATATTCATTTTTATTCATTTGCTAAAACAAAAATTATACAATACAATTAATAAATCGTGTTTTCCTAATGTTTTGGTGTGTTTCGGTTGTTATAATAAAATACGCTCAACTGGAGGTAAACAAGCAACGGAGAATAAAATACGCTGAAATGGAGTTTTACCAGATGAAGACCACCACTTTCATTACTTTTAAATGTAGGAAAAAAGTAGAATATTTGGAAAAAATTTAAAAAAAAAATAGGCTAACAAAAAAATAAGTGATCAATTACTAACCTTTTTTACTTCAAATCTTTTTTTGCTACCCCTTTCCCCTGAAACACTTGGGCTATCGTCAATATCTTCGCTGTTGTCAATATCCATTGCCGCTGCCATTTTGTGTATAAAAATTATGATTGAACGAAACAAGAGTTCAGTTTTTTAAGTAAACAAATTTTTGTTAAAATAACTATTTTAAGGTATCTGTACATCCTAAATTTATATTTAAAATATTTTTATATTAAAGTATTTTTTTACACAAGATTAAAGCCTATACAGTAAAGCTTTACCACTTTTTATAGAATTGTTTCGGTATACAAGCCGTTGAAACGAACAGCCTAGCCTAGGAAAATAACACAAGAAGTGATGCCTGAACTACCCCAGAACGAGTCTAGAGTGGAATAAAAACTAATACTCTAGTCTAAATTCCATGAAAAAATTATTATTTCTTATATTTAAATGTGAAGGAAAATATATATTGATATATATATTATTTAGATCTACAAAGATTTAACTATACACAAAAGCTACGTTAGCTAAATAAAATGCTTTTCCGGTTGGGGGCAGACCAGAGGCGTAGCGACCCTTCCCGGCGCCCGGGGACAAACTTTTGATTTGCACCCCACCCCCCCTCGAACTTTGATTTGCACACCCCCTCCCCTAAAACTTTCAATTTGTTTTTCAAACCCATTTTGGCGCCCCCCTAAGGTCGGCGCCCGGGGAAATATGCCCCCCCCCTCGCTACGCCTCTGGGGTAGACACTGGTGAAAGTATATATTTTCTAAATACATTTTTCTATTTTGACCGAGGGTGGGGGTAGTGGGTGGGTGAAGGAAAGGGGGGGGGCGGGAGGGGGGGGGTCGATGAAGACATGCCTGAAAGATAAAAAAAAAAACCGGCCCCCATTCCACATAGACCCGATCCCCAGTCCACATAGACCCGACCCCCAGTCCACATAGACCCGACCCCCAGTCCACATAGACCCGACCCCCAGTCCACATAGACCCGAACTGATCCCTCACAAACTTGTCCCCTGTGCCCCTATGGCCACATATACTCAGCCATACACCCTAACCAATATGCGACATACAGTTTCTAACACCTTTATGTACACAGACATACAGTTACTCAGTGGCGTAGCGAGGTCGGGTGTCACCCGGTGCGGCACTTAATGGTGTCACCCCCCCAGAGGCGTAGCGACCCTTCCCGGGGACAAACTTTCAAATTTTCGATGTGCACCCCCCCTCAAGTTTTTCTCTATATATTTAGCTATTTTTTTACCTTGGTGTCACCCCCCTAAATGGTGTCACCCGGTGCGGTACGCACCCCCCGCCCCACCCCCGCTACGCTACAGACATACAGTCACTGAGAATGGAGCCTTAGGACGCAGACGTGGTATTATGTATATCCGACCGACCACCCTCTTCTCCCCATTGATAACTGAGTTATTTGAATTGCCCCCCCCCCCCTCCCCTCCCCAAAATATAACAAAGCATCACAGTTTTGCAGTGTTGTCAACTAAGTTATTTGAACTGCGCCCCCCCCCCTCCCCTCCCCAAAATATAACAAAGCATCACAGTTTTGCAGTGTTGTCAACTAAGTTATTTGAATTGCCCCCCCCCTCCCCAAAATATAACAAAGCATCACAGTTTTGCAGTGTTGTCAACTAAGTTATTTGAACTGCGTCCCCCCCTCCCCAAAATATAACAAAGCATCACAGTTTTGCAGTGTTGTCAACTAAGTTATTTGAACTGCGTCCCCCCCCCCTCCCCCTACTGTAACAAAGCATCACAGTTTTGCAGTGTTGTCAAATAAGTTATTTGAACTGCGCCCCCCCCCCCCCCTCCCCCTACTGTAACAAAGCGTCACAGTTTTGCCGTGTTCTCAATAGACTGATAACATTTTATGTGGACCAAAATTTGGAGCGTCAGCCCTCGTTTGTGTCGTTGGTGGGGGTAGTGTTGTGTGTTTTATGAGAGGGGGGAGGAGTGGTGTGTGTCATTGGTGGGGGTAGTAATTGAATTTTGTCATTGATTTTAGTAATTGATTTTAGTAATTGATTTTAGTCATTTTTTTTAGTTATTGATTTTAGTCATTGATTTTAGTCATTGATTTTAGTTATTGATTTTCGACATTGATTTAGTCATTGATTTATTCAGTTTATTCTAATGTTTAATTACATTTTTAAAAATTAGATGTATTTGCATTATCATCGGAAACGAATGTTTCTGGAAAAAAAAAAGAAATCGCTCCATTAAAAGTGGGTCAAACTGCGTCACAAAATAAGGTGAAGCAAGGGCTGCCGGGCTCACGTGGGCTCAACTAAAGAGAGCTGCCCAAAATAGAGCCCGGTGGAGAGGTGGAGCTGTAGCCCTTTGCTCCCCAAGAGAGGTGGAGCTGTAGCCCTTTGCTCCTCAAGAGAGGTGGAGCTGTAGCACTTTGCTCCCCAGGAGAGGTGGAGCTGTAGCCCTTTGCTCCCCAGGAGAGGTGGAGCTTTAGCCCTTTGCTCCCCAGGAGAGGTGGAGCTGTAGCCCTTTGCTCCCCAGAACTTTACAGGATTAAATCAATTCAAATCTGCGCCGTTGAAATACGTCTGGAGTAATCGTCATATTTCTGTTCTTTGACTTTCTATGGTGTCTTTCAATGGTGTCTTTCAATGGTTTATTTCAATGGTGTCTTTCAATGGTGTTTTACTATGGTGTCTGACACATTTTGGAGTAAAATAAAGCTGATAGTGACTTGGTGTGTCTTATCGGGTTGTCATGTGTCAAGGGCTGTCACTAGGGTTGTCACACTCACTAGGGTTGTCACATTCACTAGGGTTGTCACATTGACTAGGGTTGTCACATTCACTAGGGTTGTCACACTCACTAGGGTTGTCACATTCACTAGGGTTGTCACATTGACTAGGGTTGTCACATTCACTAGGGTTGTCACACTCACTAGGGTTGTCACATCCAGGTTGTAAAGGTCTGCCTGACGCACATTTCTGTTGGACAACCACCAGATTGCTATTCAGACCAAAACGTCAAACCGTCTTCCCTGGCCACCTGCTTATGGCCACTCCTCCCTGGACAACTGCTTATGGGCACCACTCATTGGCCACCAGCTCAAGGCTACTCCTCTTTGACTAGCTGGAAATGTACTTGTCATGAACGAAAATGTAATGAGGCACACTTGACTGAGCCAGAGTTGAATGAGCCACACCTGACTGAGCCAGAGTTGAATGAGCCACACCTGACTGAGCCACAGTTGAATGAGCCACATCTGAAAGAGCCGCCAACTGCCACCACTTGTGGCCCTATGAGTCAGCAGAACACGCGGGCCAGATAAAGGGTGACCTTGACGACCTTGTCAGCCCGCCCATGGACCGGCTGGGTGGGCAGACGGCAACCTGGGTGTTATCAGCCGAACTTTCTCGATCTCCGGCCGATGGTGGCCACGAGGAAAATGGCGCTCAAATTATTTCTCTGTGTCTTAGGTTTCAGCTGTTTCGGAAATAATATTTTCGCACATGGTAAGTTTTTATTTTGTTGATATGACATCCAGGCCAGCCATCAAACATGACGTGCTGCACTGCAGCAGGCGTTGGTCAAATGTGTGGGCGTCAGACTCCCGGGCTTCCGGGTGTGTGACAGTCTTGTGGGATGACATGTCAGACTGACTTGTGTCCAGCAAGGTCCGTGCAAGGTCACGTGGTCACGTGTCCTCGACACAGACGAGTGCTGGTCACCTCACTGCGTCTCTTCCACCCTTCCACTCCTCCACCGCAAACATCCACCGCAAACATCCACCAACACCCGTGTCAATTATCTTAGAGTATTTTTACTTACAATTGTTATAAATCATAATGCTTTTAACGGCTATAAATAATTTATGCTTTCAAAAAATACAACCCACAACAATAAACATACAAAATTTTACAATTCCTAACAAATTAATAAAAAGATTTCTAAAAAGATTTTTGTGACTTTTTTTCTGTGACTTTATTTCTGTGACTGTTTTTCCGATAAAATTTATCCACTGTGACTTTTTTCCTGTGACTTTTTTTTCCCTTCACCCTTCAGCGGTGTGGTCATTTAAAATGTTATTGGCGTCATCGAATAGATGTCAGAAACTTTGATCTCTGGAACCTCACGTATTTGGTTGACAATGTCTTGTGTCGTGTTCTGTACAAAGTCGTAAGCTAGGGGTGGTTTCAAGGTTTCATTGACTCTAGTCATAGATTCATCATAGCACCCCCAGACATGGTGTTATTTATAGCCCCAAATATTGTATTAATTAAAGTATCCCATTTTACGGTCATATTTTATTAATTATTGCCGTGTCATTGATTATAGTAGCCCTCCCCCCCCCCCCCAATCATGGCATCTATTTTAGGTTCAAATCCCAGTCCTAGCAATTCGAGCCTCACAAGGACACAAGACTACTGTTCTGGCCATGTATGACCCTCCCCCCCCCCACCACCCCACACCATCAGATTTTCTTCTAGGCATCTCTTCGCCCCCCCCCCCCCCCCCGAACGAAATGAAATTTATATGATTTATACAGAAAATATATACTTTTAACAGTGTCCGCCCCCCCCCCCCCGAAGAAAGTCTACCGCCCCCCGAAAATTTCAAGTGCCCCACCGGAGAAAAAAGTCTGGAAGAAACACTGAACACCATCCCCATAACCCCCATACAGACTGGTGCCCGTAATTCTACATACACACAGTTCTAATAAAGGTGTGTAGGTCTGACATTAGACATTGTGTCATTCACACTACACAACACATCGTACACATAGCAAAAAGATTAATGTTAAAACCTAAAAATAGCCACCCAATTACTGATCAATGCAAAATTTAAACCAAAGCCTCTCATTGGCTGGGAGTTGGACTAAAGTACATAGCTGGTTTGTGATTGGTGAGTTTAAAAACTGTTATCTCAAGAGTTTGGAAAAGATTGGCACCTCGACAAGTCTGGCTCATGCCATCTAGCAAGTGGCAGGGGCAGATTAGATCAGAGTTTCTTCCAGGCATCTGTTCGGGGGGGTGGGGGGGGGGGGGTGGGGGCTTTGCCCCCCCCCCCCCCCCCGAATTTTTTTTACCGCCCCCCCCCCGAACGAAATGAAATTTATATAATTTATATAGAAAATATATATACTTTTAACAGTGTCCGCCCCCCAAAGATAGTCTACCGCCCCCCCCCCCGAAAATTTCAAGTGCCCCCCCCCCTCCCCCCGGAGAATAAAGTCTGGAAGAAACACTGGATTAGATGCGACTTTCTTAGCTGCCCCCCCCCCCCCACCCACCCCGATTAGTGCTGTGCTGCCTAGATTCATTAATATCTCATTACTAGAGTTGTCAAACTTTTCTTGATGCGCTAGACAAAATTAATGACAGACTGAGCTATGAAGATACCCAGACCACTAACGCTCAATGAAAAAAAAAACAACGGAGACTTTTATTTTTTAAGACAGGTTGCCTGAGAGTTGAATATAATTATTAAAAAAACAACAACAGATTCCATGATAATCTACCAAGTGAAGGAGAATTTTATACCAGTCAAAAACATCTGGACATCACAGAACTTTCTAGACTTGCTTTTAGACTTTAAAAACTGGAAAATAGATGTACTCGATTGATATTCTTGCATCTAACCCTAGCCCTAGCCGTTTCCTGAACTCTAACCCTAACCTCAATCCTAGCACAACCCTAAACCCTGTTAAACATGAGCAAGCTACCAATATTATGGCTGGGCGAGTCCCGTGTATGGACGGGACCAGCGACTAGTACTTAGGCCTGTTATTAGCAGGCTTGTTTTCTTGAATTTGTAAAATCTACTTGACTGCAATGTTTCAGTCATTAGTCATGACTTTGTCTGAGATAACATCCCTCCCACCCCTAGCCCCTGTCTCTCCCTATGTTGAAAATAAAAATAAAATACAAATCTTGTGTCTTCTGATTAAAGCGTCCCACACAGTACAGGCGCGTGACGTCACCTATAGTACACGTCCGAGCCGACGGTAGATAAGTAGTAAACAAATACAAGATAACCGCCATGTTGTTCTAGTTTTTAAACGGACCAATCAGATCAGTCCAATTTTGTCACACACAAAAACACTGACATCTTGATCTAGAGTCTAGGTGTGCTATCTTAGTTTTAAAAAAATGTCAGCAACAGTAATTTTTTGTTTGATACACACAAGTGGGCATATCACAACCACATGCAGTATACCACAGCCACACACAGCATACTACAACCACATGCAGTATACCACAGCCACAAGTCACATACAGCCAGAGGCGTAGGGAGGGGGGGGGGGCGGGGGGAAGCAAATGAAAAGTTCGAGGGGGGTGCAAATCGAAAGTTTGAGGGGGGGGGGGGGTGCTGAAAAATTCGAGGGGGAGTGCAAAACGAAAGTTTGAGGGGTAGGGTGCAAATGAAAAGTTCGAGAGGGGGTGCAAATCGAAAGTTTGAGGGGGGGGGGGCGCAAATCGAAAATTTGTCCCCGGGCGCCGGGAGGGGTCGCTACGCCTCTGCATACAGCAACCACACACAGCATACCTCCGCTACACACAGCATACCACAGCCACACACACAGCATACTACAACCACATGCAGTATACCACAGCCACATGCAGCATACTAAGCCACACACAGCATACCTCCGCTACACACAGCATACCACATACAGCATACCACAGCCATATACAGCATACCACAGGCACAAGTCACATACAACAACCACATACAGCATACCACAGCCACATACAGCATACCACATACAGCGTACCACAGCCACAAGTCACATACCACAAGCACATAAAGTATAGCACAGCCACAAGCAGGAAGAAGACCAATCGCAAGCGTCGAAACTTTTGTCGTTTTGCGATCATACATTCAAACCAGGACCAGTTTTTGCTTTCCGTCGTTTGAAAGACATTAAAAAAGTTAATCGTCAAAAGTCGCGTCATTAAGATAATTAACAGCAGTAATTATTTCGTAGTTTTAACATTGTTTAGCCCCTTACTTTGATCCAGCCAATCACCCACGAGAACATGCCTTAGAACACACCCCTCCCTATAATTTCAACCAATCACCTACCAGAGCATGCCTTAGAACACGCCCCTCCTTATAATTTCAACCAATCACCCACGAGAGCATGCCTTAGAACACACCCCTCCCTATAATTTCAACCAATCACCTACCAGAGCATGCCTTAGAACACGCCCCTCCCTATAATTTCAACCAATCACCTACCAGAGCATGCCTTAGAACACACCCCTCCCTATAATTTCAACCAATCACCTACCAGAGCATGCCTTAGAACACGCCCCTCCTTATAATTTCAACCAATCACCCACGAGAGCACGCCTTAGAACACACCCCTCCCTATAATTTCAACCAATCACCTACCAGAGCATGCCTTAGAACACGCCCCTCCCTATAATTTCAACCAATCACCCACCAGAGCATGCCTTAGAACACGCCCCTCCCTATAATTTCAGCCAACCAGCCCATAGAGCCCAACCTGTCGAACCCTCCCCTCTTCAACTACGGCCTGCAAGTGGGGGACAAGGAGGTGGACAACGAGGTCAAGTTGGTTGAGCTGCCCTTCAATGTCTCTTATTTTGGCTCCAGCTACAAGCAGATATACGTAAGTCTACAGATACAGATATACGTAGGTCTACAGATACATATATACGCCGGTTTACAGATACAGATATACGTTGGTCTACAGATACAACCCAACTTAGCACAAACCTATCAACGATGTTCAAACTTCCCTTTGGTTTTCATCAAACTAAGAGTTAAACTACAACTGTAAGACAGTGTTCGAACCCTCTCCTTTCAGATCTCAGCCGACGGGACTATCGGCTTCACCAAAGCCCTCACTTACACATCGACGGTCAAGTGGACGGAGGGGGTCAGAAACCCTGACAATGACGTGCCCTTCATCGCGCCGCTGTACTACAGGTCAGTATTGAAAGCCTGACAATGACGTCATCACGCCGCTGTACTACAGGTCAGTATTGAAACCCTGACAATGACGTCATCGCGCCGCTGTACTACAGGTCAGTATTGAAAGCCTGACAATGACGTCATCACGCCGCTGTACTACAGGTCAGTATTGAAAGCCTGACAATGACGTCATCGCGCCGCTGTACTACAGGTCAGTATTGAAAGCCTGACAATGACGTCATCGCGCCGCTGTACTACAGGTCAGTATTGAAAGACTGACAATGACGTCATCGCGCCGCTGTACTACAGGTCAGTATTGTAGGGCGCGTCACTGACACCTTCCACTGACAGAGTCACGTGACGGCAGTGACAGATAATAACAAGCTCACAGCCACAAACAAGAAAGCAAACTTTCCATTAACTGACCACATATCTGACCCCCCCCCCCCCCCAACCATCTGACCACCACCAATCAGTTGACAACACAAATGACCCCAGCAATAAGCTGACCCCACAAATGACCCCAGCAATAAGCTGACCCCACAAATGACCCCACCAATCAACTGACCCCACAAATGACCCCACCCATCCCCTTTACTTCCAGCGGTTTCCGCCTCCACAACACCGAGCACAGCACCTACCAAGGCAGGATCTACTACAACATCATCTCAAGAGACGAGCTTAGGCCAGAAGATTTACACTACTCAGAGTACCGGAACTTGCTGCTGTGTAAGTTACAGGCGTGGGCGTGGTCAGCTGACAGGCGTGGGCGTGGTCAGCTGACATGTGTGGGTGTGGTCAGTTGACAGGCGTGGGCGTGGTCAGCTGACATGTGTGGGTGTGGTCAGCTGCCATGTGTGGGCGTGGTCAGTTGACAGGCGTGGGCGTGGTCAGCTGACATGTGTGGGTGTGGTCAGCTGCCATGTGTGGGTGTGGTCAGTTGACAGGCGTGGGTGTGGTCAGTTGACAGGCGTGGGCGTGGTCAGCTGTGCATGTTATGTTAAATGATAGAGATATCCCTTTCGCTGTAGTATGCATTGTACAATCAAAAGTGATCTTAAATAACAAATTGACTATCCCCAATCAAAGCACGCCCTACAACTCTTGATGGAGGCTGTCTGGTGGAGAGGTAGAAACAAGATTACCACCTCGTTAGTCTCGAGTTCACTAGTTTCTTTCCTTAGTAAGTCCCCGAGTCCACTCAGCTTTGATGGGTACCTGGCATGGTTCCAGAATGTAAGCTTGAGCAACAAAGTTCCCTGTCCCCAGATATCGGCTACTACCTGCGTGAGGCGGTCGTGCACCAGCCCAAAAAGTTTGACCCAGAGCTGGCTGTGCTAGTCACGTGGGACAACGTGGCCACAGGAGAAGACAACGAGAACGGAAATGCTTGCACGAGAGATGAGCCGTGTTCGGTAAGTCCGCGCGTACACTGGTGAGTACTCACAGACATGCGCTGGTCCTAACAATACGCACGTGAGACTTTACATAGAGTTCTTGACGTCCTCACAAGCTACTACCCCCCCCTTCCCTTCCCTTCCCAAGTTCGTCAAAATCGTAAACTTTTCCAAACTTAAAAATAATAATTCTCAAAATAAAAATGCAACTCTGGAGAGTCACTCTATGTGTGCATTTTTCTGTTTGCACATTTTTGTCTTTACGCATTTTACTGTGTGCGCAAATTTCTGTTTGTGCTTTTTTTTTGTTTGCGCATTTTTCCGTTGCGCAATTTTTCTTGCGCTTTTTTTTGTTGCATATTTTCCATTGCGCATCTCTTGTTTGTTGTTACAATTTTTCGGATATGCTTGCTACAGTTTCAGTCCTTAACGACCATCTTAAACTCTTGTATTCCCCCACCCCACCCCCACCCCAGGGCGCCACCTTCCAAATGTTGCTGGTGGCCGACAGACAGAACACCTACACCGTCTTCAACTACGGCAAGATGGACATCCACCTCAAGCCCACCTATCAGGTCAGACATTTGATTTCATGACGTCATGGGCTTTCTACCCAAAGCCATCGTCAGAGAAACCACTCGACTTTCTTCTGGTTTCTTTCAGGCCGGGTTTAATGGCGGCTATGGGCGTGGCTGGTTCAACGTGATCCCGTGTCACGGGACGTGCACGCTGGGCATGAACTCTTCTGTGATCGCCGAGCTGCCCAGGCTGAAGGGCAGCAACCACAAGGGCAGATTCGTCCTCAAGGTGGACGGCGAGCTCATCATTAGGGGCGGCTGTCTACCTGCAGAGATCCAGGCTGGTCAGTGGACAATTGGGTGGACATTTGACATTTGGGTGGACATTTGACATTTGGGTGGACATTTGACATTTTGGTGGACATTTGGGTGGACATTTGACATTTGGGTGGACATTTGACATTTGGGTGGACATGTGACATTGGGTGGACATTTGGGTGGACATTTGGGTGGATATTTGACATTTGGGTGGACATTTGACATTTGGGTGGACATTTGACATTTGGGTGGACATGTGACATTGGGTGGACATTTGGGTGGACATTTGACAATTGGGTGGACTTTTGACATTTGTGTGGACATTTGACATTTGGGTGGACATTTGGGTGGACATTTGGGTGGACATTTGGGTAGACATTTGGGTGGATATTTGACATTTGGGTGGACATTTGACATTTGGATGGACATGTGACATTGGGTGGACATTTGGGTGGACATTTAACATTTGGGTGGACATTTGGGTGGACATTTGACATTTGGGTGGATATTTAACATTTGGGTGGACATTTGGGTAGACATTTGGGTGGATATTTGACATTTGGGTGGACATTTGACATTTGGGTGGACATTTTGGTGGACATTTGGGTGGACATTTTGGTAGACATTTGGGTGGATATTTGACATTTGGGTGGACATTTGACATTTGGATGGACATTTGACATTTGGGTGGACATGTGACATTGGGTGGACATTTGGGTGGACATTTAACATTTGGGTGGACATTTGGGTGGACATTTGACATTTGGGTGGATATTTAACATTTGGGTGGACATATGGTGGACATTTGGGTGGATATTTGGGTGGATATTTGGGTGGACATTTGGGTGGACATTTGGGTGGACATTTGGGTGGACATTTGACATTTGGGTGGACATTTGATATTTGGGGGACATGTGACATTAGGTGGACATTTGTCATTTGGGTGGACATTTGGGTGGAAATTTGACATTTGGGTGGAAATTTGACATTTGGGTGGACATTTGACATTTGGGTGGAAATTTGACATTGGGGTGGACATTTGACATTTGCGTTGATATTTGACATTTAGGTGGACATTTGACATTTGGGTGGACATTTGACATTTGGGTGGACATTTGACATTTGGGTGGACATTTGACATTGGGATGGACATTTGACATTTGCGTTGACATTTGACATTTAGGTGGACATTTGACATTTGGGTGGACATTTGACATTTGGGTGGACATTTGACATTTGGGTGGACATTTGACATTGGGATGGACATTTGACATTTGCGTTGACATTTGACATTTAGGTGGACATTTGACATTTGGGTGAACATTGTGCAGTTGACTGGAATATGACATTTAAGTGCAAATTTAGAATGGAATTTTAATTATGATTTGACTTTAACAATACTGACTTATATGTTGACCTATTCTTGACCATGCTCGAGACATATGAATTGACCAGCAGCCCCGCCCCCCCCCCCCCCCCCACCCACAGGTATGCTGGAGCTGTACCCCACGGAGGTGGGCATGTTTGGGGGCGAGAAGCTGGAGGTGTCTGGGAAATGTCTGGCACGGAGCGACAAGATCTACTGCAAGTTCGGGGAGCAGGTGGTCGAGGGCACCATGATCAACGAGCAGAAGGGTTTCTGTCCCGTCCCCAAGATGACCAGGGTCGGGCCAGTCACGGTCTATTGGTCAAGTGATAGGCAGGACTGGAGCGTTGATAATGTCGTCATTGTGGGTGAGGATTGCTAGGGGGGTGGGGGTGGGGTAGAGGGTGGGGGTGGGGGATGGGTGGAGGGTAGGTGGAGGGTAGGTAGGGGTGGGGGGTGGGTGGGTAGGGGTGGGGGGGGGGTTGTGGTGGGTAGGTAGGGGGGATGGGTGGAGGGTAGGGGTTGGGGATGGATGCATTAGAAATGATAGAAGTGGGGGTGAGTATGAGAGGTGGGGTAAATGGGGTGAATGATGGATGTGACAGGACGGGATGGCGTGTTAGTGTTGATTGAGCTCGAGACACAAACCACGTGACTTTGACGGGAGTCATGTGACTGTTTCAGTGGTAGCTGAGGACGTTGACCCCGCTAAACGGTTCGCGCTCCACCAGACGGAGCAGCTGATGCAGTGGTACACCCGTGACGTCACCACCATCACCATACCCTGGGACCCACAGCTCCTGATGGCCGAGTCGTCGGTAGACACGGAGGTAGAACTCCGGCTTCTGGGGTACAGGGAGCTGGATAATAAGGTAAGCTGGTGGGTGGGTGGGTAGGTGGGGTATGGGTGGGTGGGTAGGTGGGTGGGTAGGTGGGTGGGTGGGTAGGTGGGGTATGGGTGGGGTATGGGTGGGTAGGTGGGTGGGTAGGTGGGTGGGTAGGTGGGTGGGTGGGTAGGTGGGGTATGGGTGGGGTATGGGTGGGTAGGTGGGTGGGTAGGTGGGTGGGTAGGTGGGTGGGTGGGTGGGTGGGTGGGTAGGTGGGTGGGTAGGTGGGTGGGTGGGTGGGTGGGTAGGTGGGTAGGTGGGTAGGTGGGTGGGGTATGTGTGGGTAGGTGGGGTGTGGGTGGGTGGGTAGGTGGGTGGGTAGGTGGGTAGGTGGGGTGTGGGTGGGTGGGTAGGTGGGTGGGTAGGTGGGATGTGGGTGGGTGGGTAGGTAGGTAGGTAGGTGGGATGTGGGTGGGTAGGTAGGATATGGGCAGGTTACCATGGTTACCAAGAGTCATGAATGTTTTCCCGGCCAGGTGGAGTACACGGTGCTAGAGAACCTGGGCAAGGAGCAGCTGTCACGTGGTCAGTTCAGCTTCCCCGTGGAGGGGCACCGGTGTAAACACAACTGTGGGGACTACGAGATCGGTCTGTTTGAGGTGGCCCTACCCACACACTTCCAGGGGACCGCCGCGGAGAGAGTGTGAGTTTTGTTGTGGGGGTGGGTGGGTGGGTGGGTGGGGTAGATGTATATAACTACGGGTTGTGGGGGTGGGTGGGGGGATAGATGTATATAACTACGTGTTGTGGGGGTGGTTGTACACGTGTTGTGTGTGTAGTTGTTTACGTGTTGTGTGTGTGGTTGTATACGTGTTGTGTGTGTGTAGTTGTATACGTGTTGTGTGTGTGGTTGTTTACGTGTTGTGTGTGTGGTTGTTTACGTATTGTGAGTGTGTGTGGTTGTACACGTGTTGTGTGTGTGGTTGTTTACGTGTTGTGTGTGTGTGTGGTTGTACACGTGTTGTGTGTGTAGTTGTTTACGTGTTGTGTGTGTGTAGTTGTATACGTGTTGTGTGTGTGGTTGTTTACGTGTTGTGTGTGTGGTTGTTTACGTATTGTGAGTGTGTGTGGTTGTACACGTGTTGTGTGTGTAGTTGTACACGTGTTGTGTGTGGTTGTTTACGTATTGCGTGTGTGTGTGGTTGAACACGTGTTGTGTGTGTGGTTGTTTACGTGTTGTGTGTGTTGTTGTTTACGTGGTTCCAGATTGCTCGAGAAAACGTCTCGTCTGCAGCTCACTTTGGTGACAGAGCTTGATTTCAAAATGTCGGCTTAAGGGACTCGGGTTGCCCCTCCCCCTTATAACACAACCATCCTTGCCCCTCCCCCTAATAACACAACCATCATTGCCCATCCCCCTTATACCACAACCATCATAGCCCCTCCCCCTTATACCACAACCATCATAGCCCCTCCCCCTTATACCACAACCATCATAGCCCCTCCCCCTTATACCACAACCATCCTTGTCTCCAGGGCCATCCGCTACGGCCCCTTCCCCCTGGGCTGGTACATGAACGAGGACCTGACGGAGCGGATGGGAAGCGACTGGTCAGACCAGAAGTGTCGTGCGTGGAGCAGGGAGGACGGCAAGTCGACGGACTGGATCCAGCGCCTGCCCCCCTGCCCCTGCAGCCTGGCCCAGGCTCTGGCAGACTTTGGTCGCTTCCAGGCCGACCCCAGCTGTAACATCCAGACCGGAAGTAAGTGCCACTACCACAAGGAGGCTGTCCACTGCGTTCGCTCGGTGTGGCCCACGTAAGTCATTGACGTCATTCGAAGTCATCTCTTGACTGTATCTCATTACTGATTCACATTTTCTTGTTTTAATAAGACATCCATTTTAATACATATACCATTTGTAGCCCACCTCATGTAGCCCACCTCATGTAGCCCACCTCATGTAGCCCACCTCACGTAGCCCACCTCATGTAGCCCTCATGTAGCCCACCTCATGTAGCCCACCTCATGTAGCCCACCTCATGTAGCCCAAATCATGTAGCCCACCTCATGTAGCCCACCTCATGTAGCCCACCTCATGTAGCCCACCTCATGTAGCCCTCATGTAGCCCTCATGTAGCCCACCTCATGTAGCCCACCTCATGTAGCCCACCTCATGTAGCCCTCATGTAGCCCTCATGTAGCCCACCTCATGTAGCCCACCTCATGTAGCCCACCTCATGTAGCCCACCTCATGTAGCCCACCTCATGTAGCCCACCTCATGTAGCCCACCTCATGTAGCCCACCTCATGTAGCCCACCTCATGTAGCCCACCTCATGTAGCCCTCATGTAGGCCTCATGTAGCCCACCTCATGTAGCCCACCTCATGTAGCCCACCTCATGTAGCCCACATGTAGCCCACCTCATGTAGCCCACCTCATGTAGCCCACCTCATGTAGCCAACCTCATGTAGCCCACCTCATGTAGCCCACCTCATGTAGCCCACCTCATGTAGCCCACCTCATGTAGCCCACCTCATGTAGCCCACCTCATGTAGCCCACCTCATGTAGCCCACCTCATGTAGCCCACCTCATGTAGCCCTCATGTAGCCCACCTCATGTAGCCCACCTCATGTAGCCCACCTCATGTAGCCCACCTCAAGTAGCCCACCTCATGTAGCCCACCTCATGTAGCCCTCATGTAGCCCTCATGTAGCCCACCTCATGTAGCCCACCTCATGTAGCCCACCTCATGTAGCCCAACTTATGTTGCCCTCATGTAGCCCACCTCATGTAGCCCTCATGTAGCCCACCTCATGTAGCCCACCTCATGTAGCCCACCTCATGTAGCCCACCTCATGTAGCCCTCATGTAGCCCACCTCATGTAGCCCACCTCATGTAGCCCACCTCATGTAGCCCACCTCATGTAGCCCACCTCATGTAGCCCAACTTATGTTGCCCTCATGTAGCCCACCTCATGTAGCCCTCATGTAGCCCACCTCATGTAGCCCACCTCATGTAGCCCACCTCATGTAGCCCACCTCATGTAGCCCTCATGTAGCCCACCTCATGTAGCCCACCTCATGTAGCCCACCTCATGTAGCCCACCTCATGTAGCCCACCTCATGTAGCCCTCATGTAGCCCTCATGTAGCCCACCTCATGTAGCCCACCTCATGTAGCCCACCTCATGTAGCCCACCTCATGTATCCCACCTTATGTAGCCCACCTCATGTAGCCCACCTCATGTAGCCCACCTCATGTAGCCCACCTCATGTAGCCCTCATGTAGCCCACCTCATGTAGCCCACCACATGCAGCCCTCATGTAGCCCACCTCATGTAGCCCACCTCATGTAGCCCACCGCATGTAGCCCACCTCATGTAGCCCACCTCATGTAGCCTACCTCATGTAGCCCACCTCATGTAGCCCACCTCATGTAGCCCACCTCATGTAGCCCTCATGTAGCCCCCCTCATGTAGCCCATCTCATGTAGCCCATCTCATGTAGCCCACCTCATGTAGCCCACCTCATGTAGCCCACCTCATGTAGCCCACCTCATGTAGCCCACCTCATGTAGCCCTCATGTAGCCCTCATGTAGCCCACCTCATGTAGCCCACCTCATGTAGCCCACCTCATTTAGCCCACCTCATGTAGCCCACCTCATGTAGCCCACCTCATGTAGCCCACCTCATGTAGCCCACCTCATGTAGCCCACCTCATGTAGCCCTCATGTAGCCCTCATGTAGCCCACCTCATGTAGCCCACCTCATGTAGCCCACCTCATGTAGCCCACCTCATGTAGCCTACCTCATGTAGCCCACCTCATGTAGCCCACCTCATGTAGCCCACCTCATGTAGCCCACCTCATGTAGCCCACCACATGCAGCCCTCATGTAGCCCACCTCATGTAGCCCACCTCATGTAGCCCACCTCATGTAGCCCACCTCATGTAGCCCACCACATGCAGCCCTCATGTAGCCCACCTCATGTAGCCCACCTCATGTAGCCCACCTCATGTAGCCCACCTCATGTAGCCCACCTCATGTAGCCCACCTCATGTAGCCCTCATGTTACAGCGCCGACAAGGCCGGAAACCAGTGTTGCTATAGCAACAGTGGGGAGCTGATGTTCTCCCAGCTCAACTACCAGGGCAGCTCCCCCGACCGCAGCCACGTCTGGGGCGCCGCGCCCTACGACCGCCCCGACCTGGTGCCGTCCCTGTCCCACTGGAAGCATGACGTCATCAGCTTCTACTACTGCTGCCGATGGAACGACTACGCGCTGTGTGACCTGTACATGGACCTGCGACCGACCACCGACTGCCTCAAGTACTCACCCCCGGGACTAGGTAACGTCTACCCCAGCACACCTACAGCTATTAGGTTTTAAGGGACCCCCGGGAACAACCCCACCCCCAATTTGTTTGAGATCTAAGTTACATTTAAAAAACGGACGTCAGCATGTGGTTCGAATTGGTTGAACAGAAGTTAAATGAAACGTTTCACCGGCTGCTAAGCTCCACTTCCCCGTGTACTACCTAAATCCCATTTAACACAGTCCTACATCTCGCGAGAAAATTATTGGCCAGCACCTCAACTCGAGGTGAAAACTGACCATTAGTGCTAGAGTTGGCGACAACAGCACATACATTTTTTTTTAAAGAAACATATCAAACATTGATGGTTAAATTAGCACTAGTAATGGTTTGCATTAGGGTCACCTTTAAAGTATTTTTTGTTGCCTATTCACTGACCTTGACCTTTCCTTCCCCAGCGTTTCTGCGTGGTGACCCCCACGTGAGCACATTTGACGGTCAGCGCTACACGTTTGTGGGGGGTGGGGACTTCTGGCTGGTCAAGGAGGGTCAGCTCAGCATCCAGGGCAGCTTCTCTCAGCGGCCCAACGCCAGGGGTAAGTGGCCTTGACCTATTTATTCCTATATTTATGACCTATATTCGTCATCTACTGGTTTTCTGCTTATTTCTTCTCCTCCTTACTCTACAGACATTGGTCACCTCAGTGGCAAGCAGCAGTGGTTTTCTGCTTATGTCGTCTCCTCTCTACTCTACAGACATTGGTCACCTCAGTGGCAAGCAGGAGTGGTTTTCTGCTTATTCCGTCTCCTCTCTACTCTACAGACATTGGTCACCTCAGTGGCAAGCAGGAGTGGCATCCCAAGGCACTGATCTCCCTGACGGTCAAGCACGCAGACGATGACCTCATTGAGGTCCACCCCGGCCCTGACCGAGCAGTCCGGACACACGGCCTTGAACTTCGAGTCAGCGGGGAGCGGAAGTTTTTCTTCAAGCAGGCCACGAAGTGGCAGAACTTTAAAGGTAGGTTCCAGAGTTTCTTTCAGGCATTCCTTCAGGGTGTGTGTGTGGAGGGGGGTTATTGTGTCGTCTGGCTGAGAGGGGTGTGGGGGTAATGTCATGTGTCGGCTGTTGTAAAAACATGTCTGCTGATGACGTCATGTTTAAGTTTGCTGACCCCAGGTGTGTCCGTCATTAACAACGCTAGGGATGACGTCAGCAATCACCATGACAACTTCACCATTTTGTTGAGCAATGACGTAGGCGTCCAAGTGGCAGGGGTCAACGGCCTCCTGCATGTCACGGTGGCCCTCCCACCCAGTCTGAAGGTAAGTGCCCCCCCCACCATCTAGCCCAACATCCCCCGACCTACCCCCCCCCCCCTCCACCATCTAGCCCAACACCCCACCCCCACGATCTAGCCCAACACCCCCCCCCCCCCCGAACATCTAGCCCAACACCCCCCATCATCTAGCCCAACACCCCCCCCACCATCTAGCCCACCATCCCCCCCCCCACACCATCTAGCCCAACATCCTCCGACCTACACCCCCCCCACCCCCACACCATCTAGCCCAACATCCTCCGACCTACACCCCCCCACCCCCACACCATCTAGCCCAACACCTCCCGACCTACACCCCCCCACCCCCACACCATCTAGCCCAACACCTCCCGACCTACATTACCAGCGCCCTCAGTCGCCCCGGTCCTATCACTAAATGTAATGATACGGCTCTACAACGTGTAATCTTACACTTACACCACCTGTAATCTTACACTTACACCACCTGTAATCTTACACTTACACCACCTGTAATCTTACACTTACACCACCTGTAATCTTACACTTACACAACCTGTAATCTTACACTTACACTACCTATAATCTTACACTTACACCACCTGTAATCTTACACTTACACCACCTGTAATCTTACACTTACACTACCTGTAATCTTACACTTACACCACCTGTAATGTACACTTACACCACCTGTAATCTTACACTTACACCACCTGTAATCTTACACTTACACTACCTGTAATCTTACACTTACACCACCTGTAATCTTACACTTACACTACCTGTAATCTTACACTTACACCACCTGTAATCTTACACTTACACTACCTGTAATCTTACACTTTCACCACCTGTAATGTTACACTTACACCACCTGTAATGTTACACTTACACCACCCGTAATGTTACACTTACACCACCCGTAATGTTACACTTACACCACCTGTAATCTTACACTTACACCACCTGTAATGTTACACTTACACCACCCGTAATGTTACACTTACACCACCCGTAATGTTACACTTACACCACCTGTAATCTTACACTTACACCACCTGTAATGTTACACTTACACCACCTGTAATCTTACACGTACACCACCTGTAATGTTACACTTACACCACCTGTAATGTTACACTTACACCACCTGTAATGTTTACACCCGACACCCCCCCCCCCCCCCAGATGTCTGGCCCCTCGGACAAGCCCTACGGCCAGGGCCTGATGGGAACGTTTGATGACGTCATCAACAACGACTTCACCTCCAGGTCTGGGACTGTGACCACGCCCACCACAGAGAAAAGCGACTTGTACCAGAGTTTCGCTGTTTCATGTAAGTACTGCTCTACTGCCCTACTGCCCTACTGCCCTACTCTACTGCCCTACTGCCCTACTCTACTGCCCTACTGCTCGCTATGAACTGAACTGTTGGCTATACGCTCCAAGTATTTCTCACTACACTCTATACGTACTTCGCTGCTATACGGTCTACTGCTCGCTATACGCGTCCCATTGCCCACGTCTTTGACCCATGTGACGTCACTGTTCCACCAGGGGGCGTGGCCAAGCACGAATCCCTGTTCCACTTCCCCAAGGCCGCCGAGTCAGCTGTCCCTCCCCACCCCTTCTACGAGTTGAGCGACATCCCCTGGGACATCCCGGGTGAGCCGTCGGAGGCGGAGGTCAGAAGTCTGTGTGGGAGCAACAACTTCTGCGAGTGGGATTATCGGATTACTGGGGACAAGGCTGTAGCCATGGCAACGAGAGAAGCGGATGTGTATTTTAACGCCATCAAATCTGGAGCGTACAAAGGTAAGAAAACAAAGAGCAGCAAAACAAAAACCAGATGAATTATATATTACACAAAATTAGTAGCAATTATCCTCCCTCTATCGATGTTTGTGATCAAAGATCATTGTTTAAAGAGGATTATAAACTGAACTGAAACAGTCGTTCATTCTGTTGATACTTTCAACTTAGTCACTAAACTGTCTACTTGTATACCGACACCGAGTAAACAAAAACTATAAAAAGTGAACTCCCTGAAAAAAGTTTCAATATGTAGTTGTACATGTAGATGGTAGACTAGCCAACACCTGCATGTTCAACTAATCCCAACCTAAACTAAAATGTTGTAACCTAAACTAAAATGTTGTAACCTAAACTAAAATGTTGTAACCTAAACTAAAATGTTGTAACCTTAACTAAAATGTTGTAACCTTAACTAAAATGTTGTAACCTAAACTAAAATGTTGTAACCTAAACTAAAATGTTGTAACCTTAACTAAAATGTTGTAACCTACCAGTTGAGAACTGTGGCCTGCCAGATATTGGCCGCATGGCCAAGTTATCGGCCTACAACTTCTCCGTTGGCCGAGAGATTCGAGTTACCGGATGTGACAACGACTGGAATTTCGCCGGAGACGCGACGTTCAGGTGAGTGCTGTGTGACCGGATGTTGTTGACAGGTGTGTGTACAAGGTGTGGTGTGGGTTGACTACAGGTGTGATGTGAGTTGACTACAGGTGTGATGTGAGTTGACCTACAGGTGTGATGTGAGTTGACCAACAGGTGTGATGTGAGTTGACCTACAGGTGTGATGTGAGTTGACCTACAGGTGTGATGTGAGTTGACCAACAGGTGTGTGTACAAGGTGTGGTGTGAGTTGACCAACAGGTGTGATGTGAGTTGACCAACAGGTGTGATGTGAGTTGACTACAGATGTGATGTGAGTTGACTACAGGTGTGATGTGAGTTGACCTACAGGTGTGATGTGAGTTGACCAACAGGTGTGATGTGAGTTGACCTACAGGTGTGATGTGAGTTGACCTACAGGTGTGATGTGAGTTGACCTACAGGTGTGATGTGAGTTGACCAACAGGTGTGTGTACAAGGTGTGGTGTGAGTTGACCAACAGGTGTGATGTGAGTTGACTACAGATGTGATGTGAGTTGACTACAGGTGTGATGTGAGTTGACTACAGGTGTGATGTGAGTTGACTACAGGTGTGATGTGAGTTGACTACAGGTGTGATGTGAGTTGACCAACAGGTGTGATGTGAGTTGACCAACAGGTGTGATGTGAGTTGACCAACAGGTGTGATGTGAGTTGACTACAGGTGTGATGTGAGTTGACCTACAGGTGTGATGTGAGTTGACCTACAGGTGTGATGTGAGTTGACTACAGGTGTGATGTGAGTTGGCCTACAGGTGTGATGTGAGTTGACTACAGGTGTGATGTGAGTTGACCAACAGGTGTGATGTGAGTTGACCAACAGGTGTGATGTGAGTTGACTACAGGTGTGATGTGAGTTGACTACAGGTGTGATGTGAGTTGACCTACAGGTGTGATGTGAGTTGACCTACAGGTGTGATGTGAGTTGACCTACAGGTGTGATGTGAGTTGACCTACAGGTGTGATGTGAGTTGACCTACAGGTGTGATGTGAGTTGACTACAGGTGTGATGTGAGTTGACAACAGGTGTGATGTGAGTTGACTACAGGTGTGATGTGAGTTGACTACAGGTGTGATGTGAGTTGACCTACAGGTGTGATGTGAGTTGACCTACAGGTGTGATGTGAGTTAACCTACAGGTGTGATGTGAGTTGACCTACAGGTGTGATGTGAGTTGACAACAGGTGTGATGTGAGTTGACCTACAGGTGTGTGTACAAGGTGTGATGTGAGTTGACCAACAGGTGACATGTTCACTTACCTCCACAGGTGTGTCAGAGAGAGGCTGGACGAGGCGGAGGAGAAAGAGAGGGAGGATTATGGTGAGGTGGTCACGGACCCCCACGATCTACGTCAGTACATCATCCACTGGGTGCCCAAACCTTACACAGTCTGTTACGGTAGGTGGGGTGGGGGGGTGGTCAGTACATCATTCACTGGGTGCCCAAACCTTACACAGTCTGTTATGGTAGGTGGGGTGGGGGTGGTCAGTACATCATCCACTGGGTGCCCAAACCTTACACAGTCTGTTACGGTAGGTGGGGTGGGGGTGGGCAGTACATCATCCACTGGGTGCCCAAACCTTACACAGTCTGTTATGGTAGGTGGGGTGGGTGGGTGGTCAGTACATCATTCACTGGGTGCCCAAACCTTACACAGTCTGTTACGGTAGGTGGGGTGGGGGGGTGGTCAGTACATCATTCACTGGGTGCCCAAACCTTACACAGTCTGTTACGGTAGGTGGGGTGGGGGTGGTCAGTACATCATCCACTGGGTGCCCAAACCTTACACAGTCTGTTACGGTAGGTGGGGTGGGGGGGGTGGTCAGTACATCATTCACTGGGTGCCCAAACCTTACACAGTCTGTTACGGTAGGTGGGGTGGGGGGTGGTCAGTACATCATCCACTGGGTGCCCAAACCTTACACAGTCTGTTACGGTAGGTGGGGTGGGGGGGTGGTCAGTACATCATTCACTGGGTGCCCAAACCTTACACAGTCTGTTACGGTAGGTGGGGTGGGGGTGGTCAGTACATCATCCACTGGGTGCCCAAACCTTACACAGTCTGTTACGGTAGGTGGGGTGGGGGTGGTCAGTACATCATCCACTGGGTGCCCAAACCTTACACAGTCTGTTACGGTAGGTGGGGTGGGGGGGGGGGTGGTCAGTACATCATTCACTGGGTGCCCAAACCTTACACAGTCTGTTACGGTAGGTGGGGTGGGGGGTGGTCAGTACATCATCCACTGGGTGCCCAAACCTTACACAGTCTGTTACGGTAGGTGGGGTGGGGGGTGGTCAGTACATCATTCACTGGGTGCCCAAACCTTACACAGTCTGTTACGGTAGGTGGGGTGGGGGGGTGGTCAGTACATCATCCACTGGGTGCCCAAACCTTACACAGTCTGTTACGGTAGGTGGGGTGGGGGGGGGGGGGGTGGTCAGTACATCATTCACTGGGTGCCCAAACCTTACACAGTCTGTTACGGTAGGTGGGGTGGGGGGTGGTCAGTACATCATTCACTGGGTGCCCAAACCTTACACAGTCTGTTACGGTAGGTGGGGTGGGGGGTGGTCAGTACATCATCCACTGGGTGCCCAAACCTTACACAGTCTGTTACGGTAGGTGGGGTGGGGGGTGGTCAGTACATCATTCACTGGGTGCCCAAACCTTACACAGTCTGTTACGGTAGGTGGGGTGGGGGGGGGTGGTCAGTACATCATCCACTGGGTGCCCAAACCTTACACAGTCTGTTACGGTAGGTGGGGTGGGGGGGTGGTCAGTACATCATTCACTGGGTGCCCAAACCTTACACAGTCTGTTATGGTAGGTGGGGTGGGGGGGTGGTCAGTACATCATTCACTGGGTGCCCAAACCTTACACAGTCTGTTACGGTAGGTGGGGTGGGGGGGGTGGTCAGTACATCATTCACTGGGTGCCCAAACCTTACACAGTCTGTTATGGTAGGTGGGGTGGGGGTGGTCAGTACATCATCCACTGGGTGCCCAAACCTTACACAGTCTGTTATGGTAGGTGGGGTGGGGGGGTGGTCAGTACATCATTCACTGGGTGCCCAAACCTTACACAGTCTGTTACGGTAGGTGGGGTGGGGGGGGGTGGTCAGTACATCATTCACTGGGTGCCCAAACCTTACACAGTCTGTTACGGTAGGTGGGGTGGGGGGGTGGTCAGTACATCATTCACTGGGTGCCCAAACCTTACACAGTCTGTTATGGTAGGTGGGGTGGGGGGGGTGGTCAGTACATCATTCACTGGGTGCCCAAACCTTACACAGTCTGTTACGGTAGGTGGGGTGGGGGGGTGGTCAGTACATCATTCACTGGGTGCCCAAACCTTACACAGTCTGTTACGGTAGGTGGGGTGGGGGGGTGGTCAGTACATCATTCACTGGGTGCCCAAACCTTACACAGTCTGTTACGGTAGGTGGGGTGGGGGGGGGTGGTCAGTACATCATTCACTGGGTGCCCAAACCTTACACAGTCTGTTACGGTAGGTGGGGTGGGGGGGGTGGTCAGTACATCATACACTGGGTGCCCAAACCTTACACAGTCTGTTACGGTAGATGGGGTGGGGGGGGGGGTGGTCAGTACATCATTCACTGGGTGCCCAAACCTTACACAGTCTGTTACGGTAGGTTGGGTGGGGGGTGGTCAGTACATCATTCACTGGGTGCCCAAACCTTACACAGTCTGTTACGGTAGGTGGGGTGGGGAGGGGGGGGGTGGTCAGGGGTGGTCAGGGGTGGGTGGGTGGTGAATGGTTTGTGGGGGTGGGTGGGTGGTGAATGGTTTGTGGGGGTTGGTGATGGGGTGGGGGTGGGGGTTAGTGTGGTGGGTGGTTAGTGGGGTGGTTAGGGGGGTGAGTGGGTGGTGAATGGTTTGTGGGGGTGGGGGTTAGTGGGGGTGGGGGTGCGTGGGGGGGGGTGAGTGTTTAGTGGGGGTTTGGGCTGGGTGGTTAGTGAGGTAGCTGGGGTGGCAGGGTTGTAGTAGGGGTGAGGATAGGTGGTTCGTGGGGATGGGGGTTGGTGGTTAGTTAGGTTGGTGGGGTTGTTAGTGGGTGTGGGGATTGGTCAGATGTTGTGACGTCATGTTATCCCCACAGATGAAGACATCGAGGCAGCGAGTCTGGGTCTGATCATTGGCTGCGCAGTTGGTGCAGCTGTCCTCGTCATCGTCATCATCATCATCGTCATCGTCGTCATCAGAAGGAAGAAATCCTCGGGGAAGTCCAGGTGGGCTATTTATAGATGTGAATCTTTTGGTTGGAGGCTAATATTTTAATTATTAAATGGTTCAAGTTTTAAAAATTGATCTGGCTCATTTCATCCTCAGGCCAAAGGGAGAGAAACCAAAATCCAGCCAGAGGAGGGGGCAGGAGGGGGACCCAGCGGCGGCTGAGTCGATGTTGAGAGAGGTGGAGGACAGGAGGTAAGGAGGGAGGAGGGGGGAGGACAGGAGGTAAGGAGGGGAGAGGACAGGGGTAAGGAGGGATAAAAAATGAGGTACACAAGGGGGTGGGGGGAAAAGATGCCGAAAGGGGGGGTAGGATGGGGATGATGTGATAGATACGGTAAACGACAAAAGGGTCCGAAAAGCAGAAGAAAATCTGGCCATTTTGATGTTTTGTCAAATGTTTTCACCACGCTGAGCTGCATGTCTTGTCACAGCCCAGAGGCGTAGCGGGGGGGGGGGGACATATGTCCCCGGGCGCCGACCTTAGGGGGGTGGCGCCAAATTGAAAGTTTGAGGGGGGGGGGGGGGTGCAAATGAAAAGTTTGTCCCCGGGCGCCGGGAAGGGTCGCTACGCCTCTATCACAGCCTGCTCGATAGATTTCATCATTTGGTAACCAATAATTTGTGTAGATTAACCTGAGTATTTGTGAATCCTGTTTCAGCCCTGTTTACCGCGTGAAGAAAGACGTTGTGCGCATGTCAGACGTTGAGGCTGGTCGTCAGGACTAGCCAGGTCCGACAACTCAGTCAACAATTACATCAACAGACTGGCTTATCCTTCCTGAACTGCTTGCTACAACAAGGGACATCATTCACATTCCAAACTAAAAGATTGACATATCAAATTGTTTTTACTTTTGTATGGATTTCGTTTAGCTTGTAGTTTGTTTATCAACATTTCAGCTACGATTTAAAATTTTATCTTTGAAAATGTGTTAGCTAGTTGGATCGAAGGTTTAAAGCACCTTTACTTTTTTAATTTGGCTTACTAGAATGTACATACTTTTGTCTTTACAATATTGATTTCCTATGTTTGTGTTTTGTGTATGTGTAATTAGGTGAACCATCTCAATGTATTGAAAAAAAAAAAAAAAAAAAAGAAAAGGTACCGGACTAACGAATGGGACGATTAGGCAGCGATTCAAGGGCCTTGTTGTTTTATGATCAATCTTTGGTGATCAATGTGGTGGTGTTTGGTGGTGTGTGGGGTAGGGTGGGGATAGTGGTGGGTGAAAGAGTGTGTGGTGGTGTGGTGGTGTGTGGTGTGAGGGAGAATGTTGATGTTTGTTCCGGTACTGGATGTCGTGCAGTCAGAGGCAGCAGGTTCTAGAATATTCTTTGTGTTCTTTTCTTGTACTCGAGCGTCAGAGGGGTCAACTATAACATGGGGGGAGGGGGTGGATAAGGATAGGTTATTGTTTTGTGTGTGTGTGTGTACGCGAGTGTGTGTGTGTGTGTGTGTGTGTGTGCACGTGTGTGTGTGTGTGTGTGTGTGTGTATTAGACAAGAGACCATAGACCATTCCCATCTCAAAATTTAACCAAATTTAATTGTCATTGTTCTTGTAGACCTGTCATTTTGCTTTCTTAATATTTCAGCATCTGTCATTTATGTCATCTATGTCATCATGTCGCGTATCTATGCCATATTCATGACATGTTTGTCATATTTTTGTCATATTTTAGAGTTTTAAACCAAGAATTAAAGTTTTATAATTAAACAATTTCGTCTCGTTTGTTCAAAAGTTGTCTATTTCTGTTCGTTTGTTGGTATGTATGTGTCTTTGTGTGTGTGTGTGGAGGGGTGGGGTGGGGAGGATGACCGAGGGTTGGGTTTGGTCGTGTTCGGGAATCCCGCGAGAATCTCGAACAGTCACATCTACGCGATGACGATATCAGATAAATTTATTGATCCGATCGATCAAGATAGGACTGGTCACGTGAACATTCAAAGTGGGGCGCGGGTCAAGAGAAAACAAGATTTTGGACTTTAAAGTCCGCCGATCAGGTATAAATGGCAGACAATTGGCAGAGGGGAGAGTCTGGGGGGTGGGGGTGTGGTCAGCACCCACGGTCACACACAGCTGTCTTTACTAGCAGACGACAGCTCGATAATTGAAAGCTGTAATCAGAACATTGTGGTCAGCGTGCTACACACACCACACACCACACACCACACAGGACCCAGTGAAGTTATCTCTCTAATGATAACACTGACGCTTGTATCATCAAACAAATTATTTATAACCATTGAACATCTAAGCCACCCGACACAGCAACATTTAACATCTGTCTCTAGCTCAGGATACCTGTAATCTAGTGTTACCACCTGCGGTCTTGTCTGAACACCACCTGTAGTCTAGTGTTACCACCTGCAGTCTTGTCTCACCACCTGGAACCTTGTGTCACCACCTGGAGCATTGTCTCACCACCACCTGTAGTCTTGTCTCACCACCTGCGGTCTTGTGTCACCACCTGTAGTATTGTGTCACCACCACCTACGGTCTTGTATCACCACCTGTAGTATTGTGTCACCACCACCTACGGTCTTGTGTCACCACCTGTAGTATTGTGTCACCACCTGCCAATTGATGTCACTGTCACTTGACAAGATTAAAGATGGATACCAATCAAAACTTTGATATCAGGTAAATCATTCGACACGAGTCAATCAATAACATTCGACACAGGTAAATCAATAACATTCAAATCAAAACATCTCGTGTTTGTAAGTTGATCAACTACACATTTTTTTTTCGGGCAAATCGTTCAACAATTTTTGGGGCTGTCAGAGAAATGGATGGACAAATCAAAATGAGATTGGGCTTTATGGATACTTTATTTGACAGACTGGCTTTTGTGGATACATTATTTGACGGACTGGATTTGTGGATACATTATTTGACGGACTGGATTTGTGGATACATTATTTGACGGACTGGATTTGTGGATACATTATTTGACGGACTGGATTTGTGGATACATTATTTGACGGACTGGATTTGTGGATACATTATTTGACGGACTGGATTTGTGGATACATAATTTGTCGGACTGGATTTGTTTTTGTGTCTCAGACATGTCATTGACAGCGTCAATTTGCTTGCCGTGTAACACTGTTTTCATCGTCGGCTTGTGAGGACTGATACAGATTTACAATAGTAATTCATTCATTGACGTTGGCTTAGTAATAATATCAACGATAACAACGACGACAACCACCACAAAAACAATAACAATAACAACAACAACAACAACAACAACAATAATAATAATAATAATAATAATAATAATAATAATAATAATAATAATAATAAAAATTATAATAATAATAATAATAATAATAATAATAATAATAATAATAATAATAATAATAATAATAATAATAATAATAAAAATAATTATAATAATAATAACAATAATAATAATAATCATCATACTTCGTCTTGTCCCCCCCTCTTATGTAATTAAATTAGTAGTATTTAAATGAATCGATAAGAAAAAATGTAATATTTAATTACATTTAAAATGAAATATTCTTGCGCTGTAAGCTCCGCATATTTTAGACATGTCTCAACATTTTGGTTATCTAATTATATTGTCAGTAGATACTCTCTCAGCTGTCTTGTAAAGTGTCCTAATGCTGTCTTGTAAAGTGTCTTAATGCTGTCTTGTAAAGTGTCTCAGCTGTCTTGTAAAGTGTCTTAATGCTGACTTGTAAAGTGTCTCAGCTGTCTTGAAAAGTGTCTTAATGCCGTCTTGTAAAGTGTCTTAATGCTGTCTTGTAAAGTGTCTCAGCTGTCTTGTAAAGTGTCTTAATTCTGTCTTGTAAATTGTCTTTATGCTGTCTTGTAAAGTGTCTTAATGCTGTCTTATAAAGTGTCTTAATACTGACTTGTAAAGTGTCTTAATGCTGTCTTGTAAAGTGTCTTAATGCTGTCTTGTGTTCAACAGCAGTCTCAGCTTCAGCGATTCAGATGACCCCCACGTCCACCGCTTACGTCACATGTCCGCAGGGTTCAGGAGACCCCAGTCTGTCGCAGACTTCCAAAGGGGGTCAACTTTCTCCGGCGCCAGTTCCATACACGTCAACCCCTCCAGGACCCGGACCCCCCGGACCTTCTCGGTCTCCTCCCAGAGGTAGGTCGACCCTCTCATTAGCTGACTCTAGTTGACTCAATGACGTCACCCGGAGCGACCCGCACCCTTCCCCCCCCCCCCCCTCCCCAACCTATGATCTGACTGAAGTGACTTAACATTTAGAAGTATTTTAACGACCACTGACAGAAATTACCCCATAAGTCACATTTGTATCCCCTAAGTCATATAATGATTTAATTGTGTGTGTGTGTGTAGCAGTCAGATGGGTGGTGACGTCACAGCCAGCGGAAGTATGACCTCTGACCTTGATCAGTCCAGCCTTGAGAGTGAAAAAACGCCGCTGTTGAGGAGAAATCTGGACAAGAACTCGGTGTAAGTAAGGGGGGGGGGGCATGGCAGTATGGTGGGGGGGGGGGGGCATGGCAGTATGGTGGGGGGGGGGGTTGTGTTGCTGGGGAGCTGGGTCTGAGTGTATGATATCGGCAAAGAAATGGAGGCAAGACGGCAAGGGCTAAACACTCGTCTAGTTGACTGAGGGAA